AAGTGACATTTGGAGTTAGTAAAAGTGCGGTGAAGCTGGTGAAGACAAGACAGTTGGGTGTTTTTTGTGTGTTTTGTGACATGAAAGAGGAGGCAAACGAAAACACTCTGTAGCAGGATGTAGCCTACTCCCGCCTAATTCCCTCACGGAGATTAGTGTTGGTTAATCCGGTGATATAACGCACTGTACAATGTTGCATTCAGCTCCAAAACAACAGTGCTGGTCAGAAAGTCCCTGGACCATTTGTTTACTGTGTGGTGTAATAAACAGACTCACGTGTGAAAGGTCTGCCTTAGTTTTTTAAATGAGGTTTAGGATGCAGTTATTTCATTATAAGGGCGAGTAAGTCAGTAAGTCATGTTTATTTATATAGCGCATTTCACAGACCAAGGTACAGACTCAAAGCACTTTCCAATGTTCAGAGTCAGATATTGTTCCAATCCTTCCACACACGGTGATGACAGAAGCGAGTCCAGAACACACTGGACCATCAAAGCCTCTGACCCAACACCATCCATTCACTCTCTCATTTACATTCAGACCTATTGTGCATGTTTTTAGTGGTAGGGGAAACCGGAGCACCCGGAGGAAACCTACGCAGACACGGGGAGAACATGCAAACTCCACTCAGAAAGTAAGTAGTAAGTAATCTTTATTTATATACCGCCTTTTCACTGCAGATCTGAGTCACAAAGCGGTTTACAATTGTTATTTTTGGGCATTTGTCTCTCACTCCACACAGAGATGGGCGGGGCCAGTACAGGAGGCACATGCCAGAACTATTGGACATATTTTTAGTGGTAGGGGAAACCGGAGCACTCGGAGGAAACTTACGCAGACACAGGGAGAACATGCAAACTCCATTCAGAAAGGCCCTGGTCCGACCGGGATTCAAACCCAGGGCCTTCTTGCTGAGAGGCGAGAGTGCCACCGTGCTGCCCAACTCATTGATTAGTTGTTTAGAGCCCAAATGTCAGCTATAATGGGATTTCAGTATGATTTTGACCAAACCAAAGCTCAAGTGCTGTCCCTGGAGAACATCTTCATTCAGATGAATTGTTGCACATTTAACTGTTTGATTAAAAACATGTATAAAAAACTGTATTTAGTGTGTATTATGGAACAGTGCAGTGAATAAACCAGATTGTAGCCGTTGTTTTAGTTCCATCCATGGTCCCACAGTCTCACTCACATTCACTCTGAACTATAGAGGGTTTTCCATCACGTGCTTATTACCCATGATGCTTTGCGCGAACGCCATGTTGTTTGTCTGGCTTATATTGCACAAATCATTTGTCACAGATCATTTGTCTCCATGTCATCTAAAGCCACGAATTGGGCCGACACTGACCGCGTTAAGTATTCTGATACACCCGAGTAATCTGTGAGGCAAGATCCTTGGAGAAATTGAGAATGATCGTAGATTTGGATCCGTATGAAACGCAGCGAGACCAGTGGACTTCCCAGAAATGGCCACTTTCACTTTTTTATATATATATAATCTTTATAATCTTTATTTATATACCGCCTTTTCACTGCAGATCTGAGTCTCAAAGCGGTTTACAATTGTTAATTTTGGGCATTTGTCTCTCACTCCACACAGATATGGGAGCGGGGCCAGTACAGGAGGCACATGCTAGAACTATTGTACATATTTTTAGTGGTAGGGGAAACCGGAGTACCCGGAGGAAACCTACGCAGACACGGGGAGAACATGCAAACTCAACTCAGAAAGGCCCTGGTCCGACCGGGATTCGAACCCAAGACCTTCTTGCTGAGAGGCGAGAGTGCTAACCACTCAGCCACCGTGCCGCCACTTCACAGTTATACAATTAAAAAGGGTCATGATGTATATGATGCAATATTTCTTTTGATATCACAGGTCGTAAATCACAACTGTCTACCACCCTTTCCCCTCCTCCTCCTCTTCCTCCCCCTCTCATTCATTTACAGGGGATGCTTGAGGCCCATATATACTGTACATTAGAGCCCTGCACTTGAGCCCTTGGCCCGAGGGCCCCGACGGCCTGACAGCCCGAGACCGCATAATGACCTCGGACACGGGGTCACCTGTCATGAAATGGTCAGAACAGACCTTATAGAGCCGTTTTTCAGGGGGTTAGGGTTGAATCCCCCTCGGTTGAGCCTCACCAACTAAAGAGTCTTCCCTCCGTCGAGAGTCTCTCCCCCACAATCTGCACGGTTACTGCTCCCCCAAACGACGCAGGCAGTCGGCATGTTTTAGAGCACAAAAAGTGATGTGCTACGCTTTGTTTACCTACAACTATTGGCGGCTGGACATACAAGATGGCGGACTGCGGAATTGTGGGTAGTGCGTGACGTGTTTATAGTAGTGGGGGGGAACCGGAGCACACAGAGGAAACCGATGCAAATATGGGGATAACATGCTAACTCGAAACAGAAAGGCCTTGGTTAAAGTAATCCAGACCAGTAAAAATCTGGAACCCTTTCCTTTAGAGTGTAAGACAGTGTTTAAAATCAGGTTGAAAACTTAAGACTATTTAGTTGAGCAAACATAACTTTAAAAAAAAAATTGATACTGAATTCTTAATTTATGGAAAGAGCTCTGGTGTGTGTCGTCTTCTCTGTCTGGTGCACACCGGGGTAGTCTTGCACAGTTTTTCCGATGTGGTTTTACTGCAAATGGCAAATAAATGAATCTGAATCTGAATCTTTATTATTTTGACCTTTTATTACAAAGTGTTTTGTCTGCACTGTTTTTCATGATCTGATTTTAGTTTATATGCATTGGTTTTAGTGACTTTAGCACTTTTGGATACACTGAATTAACTGTGATTTATAAACACATTTCATTAATTGATTGATCTTTGTTGGACTAGAATAATTTTGACGGTAATGTTACATAAAGTGGCACACATTTTGACAACGCAATAAAAAGGTCGGACCAGATTCCAGGCAGGAAAGGAAGGCCAAAGTCAGGTGTGTCACGGTGTGGATTTTGTTATTTTGGACTTTAGTTTTATTTTGATATCTGTTTTCTGTGCTTTGGTTTTGTCTTGATTGTCTGCCCCGCCCTGATTCACCTGTGTCTGTGTCTACCATGTGCTCCCCTCCTCTTGTTGCTGGTCCATTGTATTGTCATTGTTCTTGTCTTTGCTCCTGGTTCTCGTTTTTGGATTTTTGGATGTTTTGTTACCTTGGACTTTTGTTTTTTCATAATTAAAACATTTATACATTTTCATTCTTGCGTTTGAGTCCTCCATCATCTCACCACATGACAAGGTGATACTGCTGAACGCATACCTCAGACAAAACTAAATAAACGACATGCCAAAAAGTAACAGGAAAAGATTGTGCAATTTAGATCTGTGATAAAAAAGTACATTTTGAAGCATTATGAAGAGGTTTTAAGTGAAAATAGTCCCAAAGAGTCATTGAAACTGTTGCATTGAACAAAATCAGAGCGATAAGACTCGATATGTGCCGTTTGTTTTATCAAACTCGTAATATCATAAGTTCTATAATTTGTTACATTTGGTGACTTCTGTAAATGAGTCTTGAATGAGAATATGCTCATTCTGGCATCTGAAAGCCAGTTTCTGTCAGGCCTCTGGAGCTAAGCAGGGCAGGGCCTGGTTAGTACTCTGATGGGAGCCCTCTGGGAACACCAGATGCCACATTGGGGCGGCTGTGGTCTGAATGCTCTTCTCTAACTGTAACGTTGCCCATGTATGAATCTGGTGTGTGTGAATGGTTGGTAGTGTCGGAGAGGCTGTTATCACATTCTGATTGTTTCACCTCTGTCCGTGAGCCCCAGGGCGGGTGTGGCTACAGTAAAGTATATCACCGCCGTATACAGAATGATAGAAAAATGATTGTATGTGAAGCATTTTGCTAAAACTGATCCATTATTATTATTATCTGTTACTATGACTTCAGGCCTGCGTGTGTGTGTGTGTGTGTGTGTGTGTGTGTGTGTGTGTGTGTGTGTGTACATCAGCCTGTACCTTGCTGGTCTATTATGTCACCTGTGTATAAACCAGCACCAGCTACATTTGTAAGGAGACTGGTTTTGTCCATATAAGGCTGTTCAGGTTTTATGGTGTAAAGTGCAGCTGAAAGAGAAACGACTGTTGGAACATGGTCACGCCATGATTTAATGATGAGGTGTTTAACGCATTAGTTGACTTGTGATTGACAGAACTTGAATAATAAAATCAAAAACTCGCACCACTTGCAGGTGAAAGCCAGAACTCTGAAGTTAAACAGGGCAGACACTGGTCAATGCTGTGATGGGAGAACTTTGGGAACATCAGAATACATTGCAACCATTTAAATATTGATTATTTCCATCAAAACCAACTCGATTTATTCTCTTTTAAAGTGTACCATGAACAAAATACGCGTTTTTTTTTTGTAGTTTTTTGTTTGTTTTTTATAGCAGGGAGACCTAATACGTATTCTGTTGCTAAATACAGAGTCAAAGTGTCCTCTCCAGCACCCCTCATGTGTGCGGTTATTACCCTCTGTCCATTTCTGCATTTCCTCACTTCAGAATCTGCTTCTATAACATAGACCAAAGAGTAAGTGTTCATACAGGAGTTGACGAGCATAATTTCCCACGGGCGGCGTGTATGCTCTCCACTGACACACTGCCACACTTTCCCACGCACGCACGCACGCACGCACAGGACGCGCGCGCAGCTCACGGGGCACGCGGCAGGCGGACCGCTCTGAGGATCATGTGTAGTCCACGCGCTGAAAGTGGGTTAGAGCCACACGGAGCGGAGCGCGGCCAACACGTCCTTCCTGACTTTAGCTCCTTGTCTTCTTGTTTTGGGACGACAGCAGCCCTCTTTAACCACACTCTGCCGTGTTTTCTGCGCCAATAGACTGCATCAGCCATATGAGGATTAGCAGTTGTGACAGAACTCCACGGAGCAACTTTGCGTCGCTTTCAGCCGTTTCTGACGCCATTCCCTCCTTCACTTTTATGACTTGAAGACTTCATCACCAACATGAGAGGTGAGTGCTTCTACATCTAACATTAGTCTCATTATTATCATTGTATACTTTTCTCTTCAGGGGCGGAAACTTTTCAAGCGCGGGTCCGAAGTGCGCAGCAGCCAAAACAATAAAACGCGCATATTTCTTGCACATTTCTCATTAGACTTTGTGCATGTTTGCGTGTGCTCGATACAAAACTCATTGTCAAAAGCAAGAAAAAGTCATGTTTTGATTATGCAATGACTCCATAACCCTCGCGTCTATCTAAAGTGCGTGTTGTTCTCATTTGTCGGTTTGCTGAATATCACATTTGCAGAAGTTGAAAAGGCATACGTGTGTTTTTATGTTATTTTTGTTCACGTTTGTCGCTCCTTTTATTCAGTTTTAGTATGTGTTGCAGCTGCTGTTGCGTTCTTCCACCGGTGCGCGGCTCGGTTATGTAAGACAGCGGAGGGAGGAGGGGGCATGAATCACGCACTGTCAAACCACTCCGTCACTGTTTCCTCTTTTATACATATATTTGTATTTTTCACACAACAAATCAAGCCTATTACACACGATTTATATTATTTGTATACAGTTGCGTGCGTTTAGGGGCTGAGATTGTATATGCACTGTTTTTGACTTGCTATTGAAAACTTAATTTGTATATTTTTGCCATATCAATGTATTTCAGCAAAAAAAAAAAAAATGTTTTTTTCATAAAGGAGCTCCAGTGTGTTTTTGTTTGTTTTGATTTTTTTTTTAGCATCAGCAGTGGCGTTTTGCGCAGGGGGGGTGGATGGAGATGGAGATGGAGAGGGAGGGGGGTGCTCTGTTGACCCAGTTCTGTCACTGAGGATTACTGCATGTGTGTGTATATGTGCCTATATACTGTCGTCATTAAGCCTGCTGATGAGATGCGCCCATCACTGCTGTCTCAGCCGTTTACATCACATTGTATGACGCTGCTGCTGAGGCTTTTAATGCTTTAAAGCACATGTGTCAAAGTCAAGGCCCGCGGGCCAAATCCGGCCCGCGAATGAATTTTACATGGCCCGTTGCCTGCCATTGACGCACTATAACGTCAATTGCGTTTTCCGCTATTTTCATGTTCCCAGATGTCTATTATATCTAATATGTTTGGGGATAAGCTTGAGAGCATATTGAATCGAGCCAGCAGGTGGCAGCAGCGCTCTCTGAATGGTTTGAAAACAGCTAGATGCACTTGTTGTGCCTCTTTTTTCTCAGCTTTTTGGTGATTTCAGTAAAACTTCCCTCTACTCAACTGGGGATTACAAGCTAGAAACAAAATTATTTTTGCCGATGAAAGTAGACAGTCTATTCTTTCAGAATCTGGTTTCGGATTTCAGATAGTCATAGTACACAATATTCTGTGGGTCTTGAAAAATCTATAAAAATCATCAGAAACTGCTGGCAATATGGGAGTACCTGTTCTGAAATAGGCTGGCAGGCAATGAGTTAATAAACATTGAACCAGTCCGGCCCTCGGCTCGCAGCCAATTTGTTTTTTTGGCCCTCTGATGTATTTGACTTTGACATGCCAGGTTTAAAGCTTTGGGGCAAGTTCACTTTGATATCATTCTGAAGGAAGAGCGTTCATTGCATCACAGAATGATATAGGCTTAAAGCTGGAGCCTCACTTCTTTGCTGCATAAATGTTTTTTGCTTGTCCCAACAGAAAAATCAGGCCACAATATGCAGCCTATATCTTAGTCCAAAAAAATATAATAACAAATCTTTTTAATTAACCTGCTGAGAGCTGATTGGCTGATTCGATTTCAATGTATTCTTCACAACGTCACATATTCGATTTCATTTACATTGATCTCTCAAATTGTGCGTTTAATTATTATTCACTGAAAAGGTGTATCTTAAGATGTGACAGAAGCCAAGCATGCGTGCATTTGAAAGCTAGAACCAAACCATTTTGCAAGCCACAGATTTTTTTTTTATGTAGCTAATTTTTTACCTTTTCAAAACGTTAGGTACCCCAACTTTAATTATTGTACATCAGGCTTTTTATTCTTGCACAAGCAGCTCTGTAACGGCCTGGTTGGATGCTGTCAGGATGTTGTGCACTGCTGTGACAGGCAGGATATGGGCACAGCAAGCCTACACTTAACCATGAACCACAGCCGGTCTGAGTTAAGCTCTGTTTCCGTTGTCAGCTAAGGTTACTTACATCAACCAAAGTGCCCTCCACTCCTGCATTTAAAGACTGCATAATTTACCATATGGCCTCCCAACACATAAGTATTACATGAGCATTGTCATAACTTGATGTTATTGCAGTTGTATTGATAAGATCTGTCAGACTGGTCCCTCAGTAAAAAGGTTGCACATTTCGTTGAACTTGGCCTCACAAAGATGTGCAGAGCTTCTGATAAAGATTGGGTCCAGGATCAAAAGGTCTCACTGTGAAGAGAAGACTGCTGTGCTGGGCTTTGTGAGTGTGCAGCCTGGGGCAAGTTCACAGTCAGATACAGTATGTGTCAAGGTGCCCTTTACCTCTGACAACTCTGTGGGAACATTCCAGTTGCGGCCTCTGCCCCTGGTCTTCTTTGGCCATCTGAACCTCACCAAAAATCAGATATATCGGCGCTGTGATTATATTTTATGGTCAAATATTTTCCTTTTTTTGGTCATGGCAAATTTTCTTTATATTTAAGAGATTGGAGATGAAATATGGTTTCCTCTCTCTGCTTCTGCGTGTGTTCAAAGGACCATACATACAGGCCTAGAGCTGCATAAGTTCAAGTTCACCTACATTAAGCCGTCTTCTCTGAGTCAATTACCTATAAGGTATAAAAACACATCCCTCACTTAATAAAGAAACACACTATAATGAGCCGCTATAACCAACCTTTTATTGAAATAACGCATAATTTAAGTACCAACCTGATGACAAATACCTTTTATGACACAATGTGCACACAGCCAGAGGCCAGGAGCCCCTTTCAAATGTAGGTTAAGTCCACAGTTGTTCAGGTAAATGTAATGCTGAGGGCAAATAGGACCTTGGACTGTGTTTGATTAGCTGAGAAGAGAGGCCAAAGTCCCAGCGCGGGTTTTTACAGTCGTGCAAAGTGCTGATGGCTGGACTGTCATGACACAAGAGAGTCCTCTAACAAGTTCAAGTTGAAATTATTGCTGTGCCCTTTCGTGCCTGAAGCAATATGAGTTCCATGACTTGTTATAATAAACAGTGCAATGTGGGCAGATGTGTGTTGTTGTGAGGTGAAAAAGCATGTGGCTCAGAACTTAAACATTGAACTTGAAACATTTTCATGCTTGTTGTGCAATATTTGTTTGCCAGTAAGCCCGGACAGTGGGCGCATATGTGTCCAGCCAACTGCTTGGAGTAAAAATAGATTTATGGTGATGCTTAAGCTCAGATGAAATTTCACTCAAATACTTTTACAAGCAGCAACATGCGAGGGGCCTCTTCTGTTTCTACTCTGCCTGTGACTACATGAGAAACACATTCAGATGTTTCTCAGGGGACACAGCTGCCCATGGGGTAATACGCTTTTAAATCTTAACATTGTTATAACTCCAAACCAAAACACAGACTATAGCTATGGCTCTGCCTTTACTTACAGGCCTGACTCAGATTTGGTTCCACCTTAAAAAGCAGATTAAGTGACTGGTGTGTCTGCCATGTCCAGCACCTCCCTCTGCTGCTGTGTGAGGAAAGTGTGTCAGTGGAACAAGTCGTGCTCTTGTGGGGCCTGATGACGGGCAGGTGAACGAGCTACTCACAGCCAAAGTCAGCCTGCACACCGGCCAATGAGGAGAGAGAACAGTGGGGCTGGATCTCCCTGTGCGTTGCCACGACAACCACCTTTTGAAAGAGCGTGTTCATGGAATGTGGCCAGACAGCGGTTATATAACACACAAGAGAGGTGCGGGAGGGGGGAGCATGTAGCAAAGCTTTTTCCAATGGCCTCTCATTTATTTATATCCTCTCTGTTTCATTTGCCAAGTGGAATTCTAGCACGCAGAGGCCTGAAAAGACAAATGTGCCGAGAAATTGAATCCCAAAGTCAGAATCTCTACAGGATATGTGGGTCAGTAAGCTGTTAGTGACGTACTGGTCCCCCCACGCCCGCACAGTGACTCAGTTATTGGCGAGAGGAGCTTTGTATGAAAGAGCATTTGCCAATAGAAGTCACAATCAATACATTCATTTATGTTGATTAAAAAAGAACGTTGACAACAATAGATTGAATGGAAATGTTTTGGTTGGATTTGCAAACAGGTTAAAAACGACTGTGAGAAGAATAGGAAACAATAGAATGGAAACTTTTTTGTTTCTTTTCTTCTAAAATAATCACAAGGCCAGGCTCACAAAGCACAGTTTATACACAAAGTGCTTAACAAAACAAGAAAATAATCATTCACACAAGGCATTAATCATCATAATTAATCACAGCAGTTTAAAACAAGTGAAGTTACAATCTTTCGGTTAAAAATGTCTGATTTTAAGATAGATTTGAACATTGTCAGAGTAGAAGCCTGTCTCACATTTTCAGGAAGACTATTCTAGATTTTAGCTGCATGAATGTGAAGTGCTGCCACCCAGATGTGCTAGATGGCCATTGGAGAGACTCGTACACAAGAAAAGCACTATATAAAACCTATGCATTATTATTATTATTATTATTATTATTATTATTATTATTATTAAGAGCTGCTGTAAAGTCTATTCTCTGAGCCACAGGAAGCCAGTGCAGAGACCTGAGAACTGGACTAATGTGAGCATACCTCTAGGTTCTAGTCAGGAAGCGTTTTGACTATTATTAGGCAAAAAACTCATAATCTCCTCATCCCTTTTCACCAAACAGTACTGTGGCGCATTGATAAGTCATCCCCGGCTTTTTCCAGTTACCTAACACCAGTGTTTCTATGATCAGATTCAACCCTCCTCCTCCTCCTCCTGCACATGAAGCACATCTCTGGGACCATATTGGTGGACTTGTACAATACAATGGCCGAATGTGTCTTAGTTAACCTGCAAACAAACGGCTCTTCCCGGGGCTGAGCTGAAGTCAGTGAGAGCGTGAAACTTTATAACCCGGTGCTTTGGCTAATGCAATTGAGCTGCTATTCTGAGCTGAAGGAGGCCCAGCGACTTAGATAAACAACACGATGAAAAGAACAGTCTGTTTCACACAGCACTGTGGCCAGAGCACAGACTTCATATCTGTTATAACCGAGGCCTGTTATGAAGTTGGATTGTTGTGGCTGTCTTGTGTTAATACATATTTATGGAATTATGCAATTTAAGTAAATCAAGTTGCATGGCGCAAAAAACATTATGATTAAATTGTTGTACAAGCAAATCCATTTGCTTACTGAATACTTTTATTTTATTTATATTTTAATATGTGTTTTTTCTCTTCTTTTTTGTTCTCAGCTCAAATAGAAGTAATTCCCTGTAAAATTTGTGGTGATAAATCATCAGGAATCCACTATGGCGTCATCACCTGTGAAGGCTGCAAAGTGGGTATACTGCTGTTATCCCAATCTCTGTGTTCACCTCTGTACAGCTGTGTAGCTAATGTACAGCTGTGTAGCTAATGTACAGCTGTGTAGCTAATGTACAGCTGTGTAGCTAATGTACAGCTGTGTAGCTAATGTACAGCTGTGTAGCTAATGTACAGCTGTGTAGCTAATGTACAGCTGTGTAGCTAATGTACAGCTGTGTAGCTAATGTACAGCTGTGAAGCTAATGTACAGCTGTGTAGCTAATGTACCTCTGTGTGGCTAATGACGGTGTCTGGTGTTTTGTCAGGGGTTCTTCCGCCGCAGCCAACAGAACAATGCCATGTACTCCTGTTCCCGACAGAGGAACTGTCTCATTGATCGAACAAACCGCAACCGCTGTCAACACTGCAGGCTGCAGAAATGCCTTGCCCTGGGCATGAGCCGTGACGGTCAGTTCCATTTCAAAACCTGATGGATCTTTCCTCCATGATATGTGTGCTTAATGTTCTTGTTTTCCTACAGCGGTCAAGTTTGGTCGTATGTCTAAGAAGCAGAGAGACAGCCTGTATGCAGAGGTGCAGAAGCACCAGCAGTCCCAGGAGTGTGCGGGGATGGGGGCCCGTGAAGAGGGGGGAGAGCTGCCCATGCACGGGCGCACCTACAGCCGCGGCTCCAGCGCAGGACTGAGTGACCTGGACGACATCAACACTCTGCCTGAAGGGCTGCTCTTTGACCTGCCATTGACGCCCGAGGACGGAGGTGGAGACTACTGTAACCTGGACATGCTGGGGGGTAGCGGGGGCAGCAGCTCCTCCTCACAGAGCTCTCCAGAGCAGACCAGCCTGGACTTTAATGATGGCAACCACAGCATTAAGCATGAGTACCAACTGCTCCACAACTCAGGGCTTTTCTCACATGCCGTCATCAACCCCCTGCCTGAAGGCTTCCCTATGATTGAAATAGGTGTGTATGAAACTCACAAAGTAAACTCATGAAGTTAATACTTCCTTTAGTCGCACGGAAATGACAACAGATTTTCTTTCTCTTCAGAACGTATTATTCAGAATGTGGTGAAGTCGTACATGGAGACACGTCAGTACAGCACAGAGGAGCTCAAACGCTTGGCCTGGACTTTGTACAGCCCAGAAGAGACGCGGTCCATTCAAAGCAAGGTATGCAAGAAACCAATCTGTTAAAACATGTTTTACAGGTTATTACAATGATGGCAAATGAATAATAACAAGACCTTGTATCATTTTCTCTCAGTCAGCTGAGGCCATGTGGCAACAATGTGCTATACACATCACCAATGCAATCCAGTATGTGGTGGAGTTTGCAAAACGCATCGCTGGCTTCATGGACCTCTGTCAAAACGATCAGATTATCCTCCTTAAAGCAGGTCAGTGATCAACAGCTCCTGTTATGTCAGCACCAAACACACGCCCTCGAAGAAGGAAGGAAAGGAGCTAACAACCTTCTACAAGAAATAAATATCTCAGAAAATCTCTTGACAACCAAATAAAGCCTGGTTCACACGAGACGATTTTAAAATTGTCGGCCGATTTTTCTCTGTGTGAGACCCCACACAGGGAGATAAAAAATCACGGGTCTAACCACTTTGGTCGTACAGTGTGTGGTGCGCAGCCACACGGCAAAAATCACGCAAACCACACACGAACCGATTTCGAACCCGAGTATTCACAGATCAGACGGAAATCTCAGGTCTCGCGAGATCAAGCGTGACTTCAGAGTAAACACACATGGCGGACGAAGAGGATGCATTGGCGATAGTTTGTTTTTATCGGAGAAAAGACGTAATGAAAAGAAAAGGCGATGATCAAAGAAGTGTAGACAACACGAGCATGGACTATACTTGCTACATCGTGATATGGAGGCGTTTCCTCACCGCCTCGTCTCGTCTTCTGATTGGCTACACGCCGCAGTCATGGCAACGCGCTCGTCTGTCCCCGGGGGACACCACACACGAAGAGAAATCGGGCCAAAACAATCCAACATGTTGGATATCCCCGATTTGAGATCGGGAGCAGTCCCGATGTCCTTCCGAGCGACGAGTGCAGTCTTAACACACCACACACGGCAGGATAATCTGTAAGACTTTGTTACGGAAATCGGAGCGTTTCTTAAGATTGTCGTAAGGGGTAAATCGGGGCTAAATCGGCCTAAATATCCTGCCGTGTGAACCAGGCTTTAGTCGTTCTCTATGATCCCGTTATGACAAATATTTACCACAGCACTATTCCATCAATCACATTGAAACATATTTTTAGTACATGCAAACACTGTGTTTCTTTTGAATGTTTGAAACATTTGAGCGTACATTTTGATTAACCAATTAAAATCTGTGCGTTTCCAGGCTGTATGGATGTACTTCTGATCCGTATGTGCCGGGCATATAACCCTATCAATAATACAATGCTTTTTGATGGGAAGTTTGCCACTGCTCATCTATTTAAAGCTCTTGGTAAGTCAACATAACTAAATAAAATCTCTGCCACTCCCTCTCTGTGTTACACATTAAATAACTTGTGACTTTCCTTGTTGTAGGCTGTGATGACCTCGTTACCTCAGTCTTTGACTTGGCGCGAAGCCTGAGCCGCTTACAAATGTCAGAGGAGGAGATGGCTTTGTTTAGTGCTGCTGTCCTGCTTTCCCCAGGTACTGCCTCTAATCAAAACTAGGTTTCATGTTTGATATGTGGCTTGACATGTGTGATCAAGGTGATGTTGACAAAACAAAAAGTAAATATTCATTTGTCATTTTCCAGACCGACTGTGGCTCACAGATGTGCAGAAGATTCAGAAGATGCAGGAGAAAGTGTATCTGGCTCTGCAGCACTGTCTACAGGACGAAGGTGCCTCAGATGACAAACTTGCAAAGGTAAAGTTTATTCTGAAGGCTCACATTCAATGATTTACAGAATTTGCTGTTAGGGTTTAAGTTATAATACTTATGCAAATAATACAATCATGTTTCCTGTTTTTGTCGTCTAGATGGTTTCTAAGCTCCCCATAATGAAGTCCATTTGCAACCTCCACATTGACAAACTGGAGTTTTTCCGGCTGGTCCACCCGGAGACTGCCTACACGTTTCCTCCTTTGTACAGAGAGGTGTTTGGCAGTGAGGTCACTTTCCCCGACTCCACAGAGGGTTAACTCTGGGCCCAGCCTTTGTACAAATGAACTATTGAGGTGTAGGGGATGAACTGAGTGAACGTGGCAGCCAGCTGAAGCAACCAGCTCAACGACAATCGTGATGCTACACTTTAGGACACACTCCCACTGGAGCCCCCAGCCCAGCCCGGCCCAGCCCGGCCCAGCCCGGCCCACTTCACACTACACTACAGCCGGCACCATGTACTTTGACAAAGTCATGTGTAGCAAACATTATTTGTAACTATTTTTCTATGAGAAGAATTTAAACTTATAATTAGTTCCATTTATAGAAGTGTAACATTTATTACACACAGCTCCTGTAAGCTATTTATGAATGTACCCCCTGTCCCTTTGCCGTTCCTAAGCTTGAAGTAGAATGTACATCCTTAGAAAACCTCCTCTTCTTCTTAGACGTGCTGCTATGCTTTAGTCTCAGTGGAGTAAACTAAATCTTAGACGTGTGTAAATGGTGCAGTTTTATGAACAAACTGTAGGAAGGGACCATGAACAAACTCAGACAGTTTTAAAAACTGTGATGGGAGTGTTCTGCCTGTGACAAGCTCTTGCACATACAGCACAAACCTAGCACTTATGCAGATGTTTGTCCTAGAAAATCTTCAGAAACTGAAAATTAGCTCTCATATGCAATAACAAATTTACCTTATCCCTTTAAAATGCCACAGTATGGAATCACAGAGTACCACACATGTTCAACATTGACATAAATATTCATATTTTTGTATGAAAAAGTAGTTTTAAAATTAAGGTATTTAATCAGTAAGGGGAAAATATATTCAAGCACATAGTGCCTGTACTATCTGGACTTGGAACGGAATCTAATGTAAAATAGATATCACTTAAAGTCACAAACCCCAAAACAAAGTCTTGTCACTTATGGTGCAGTGGATTCCACTTACACTTTCACCTGCGAAGGCTGTGGGAGAAGTGTCTGGACAAGATGAAGTGACCACTATTGGGCAGATGTGCTGGAACTGTCTGAACGTCAGGCTGGAACCAGAGCCGTCTTCAAAGGACTGCATGGAGTCTGCTGCCAAAATGAAAGGACATTTTCTGGCATGAGGAGACTCTGGGACTCAGTGACAGTGAGAAGGACATCTGACCAACTATAAGATGTGAAATAATCTGCTCCTTGTTCCCCAATCCTGTACTACCTCACCTTTTCAACACTATAGCTCAACAAAGGGTTGACAGAGCCAACAGCTACCCCCCTGAGTTAGTATGTTTGATTCTTTCACAAAACATTAGTGTCCAGGTCAAAGCAAACAAACTGGTCTCATTATGTAGGCCTATATGTCTTGATTCAAAGCATTTAAAATGTGTGTTGATTCAAGGAAGAAGTGCTCTCTGCTCATCTGTCTTGTGGAGTGGATGCCTTTGGGTCCAGAAAGTCCTGTTTAGATTCAGATCTCTGTGAGTCTCAAGTAACAGAGAGCACACAGAATGTCTTTTGAAAATGGAAGTTGTATCACAGCATATACAGTGTTGAACATATACCTCTAGAAGCTGACAATCAGAGTAATGGGTGTGGTTTATTTTTGTAGATTACTTTGCACTGCTGGGACAGTGCTGTTTGCCATACGTGTGGGCTTTGTACGTCGTGCTTGTTTCCCACTGTTTGAGTTTGACAATTAAATTCCTACACTCCAGCAACTACTCACAGCTCACAGTTTGTTTGTACCAAATAAACAGCTCAGACAGGATTGTAACCATGTGCAGTATGATGCGCATTGAATCCAGGAATGTCCGTTTAACAGAAGTAGCCTAGAACAGAACCCAGGGAGCCATGCGCACACTTAAGGTCACTCAGGGAGATAGCTGGGCTCTCGTCCTAGTGTCCGCTGTTACTAGGCACCTTGCACCGACTTACAAGACCTTAATGAAACCTTGATCACTGTGTACAGTACATGTTCTTGTGAATGTTTGATTACAGAAGTATCAAAGATTTTACCTATGTCAAATATTTCTTTATTTTTTTTCTCTGTTCTTTTTTGAGTCATATAGATGAACGAGGATGCAAACAAATATAACAACCTGACTATGAAGATGAAATATAAACTCTGAATTTTGTTGGTTTTGTTGTGATCTTTTGCGTCTTATATTGTCCTTATGTCATTTTCTCAGCAGTTTAGTTAGTGTCCTTTTTGTCTTGGAGAGATGTAATTCTATTTTTTTTAAAGTGTGTTTTTAAAGATGTATCCTTTAAACTTTCTTTTTGTGATGATCCTTTATGATATGTTCAATATATAAGTTTGTTAATATTATTGAATCAAAATGAAAGAAATAATTTATATGTCATGGATTTCAAACATGAGAAGGTCTTTACACAGTCAAGTGTTATTGCACATTGGTGTTATAATGTTGATTGAAGAATGTAATAATAAAGACCTTTTCACAATGTTACATATTTTTCTTGGGCGGTTATTAAATATTATGTGTTGGAATTTGAAGAAGTAAAAGCCATTTCAAGATATTTTGATTTTAATTTTAAGATTCAACTGAACAAAAAGTACATGGATTAAGCATGTGCCATAGCGCAGGTGAATGAGTGTGTGTTTGTGACTGCAACTGTAGTTAGTCTGAGGTGATGTGTACACAGTATACAGTACTGCTGTTCATAAATACTGTCCTACTCAGAGAGAAAAATAGCATTAGAACAATAACAATGAAATAGGTTGATTTCATGTTCTAGATTTCTGTTTCAGTTGGAAGGCAACAACCAACACAACGTTATGCTAAAGAAGCATTTATGAAATAAAGGTTGACACTTCATTGATTACATAAATAAGACGTAGTTATTATCAAGTATTATTAAAATGGGGAAAACTGATCATGTATAAATGTTTTACCCGATCATTCCTTGATAGTAAGTGCATTCGCAAACCTGTCGTTTCTACTGGCCAACATGATGCATATGTTTATTATATACTTGTCATCACTTCAATACAGAAGATTATGAGAAAATAATTACACCATAGTTGATATGGACTGACAAAAAATATGTGGAACTTTGTGATAGTTTTTGTTTCATATGAAATGGTCCAGGAATTACAGAGAATTGTTAATTAGGCTATTTGGAATGGTGAGATATGACTGCACATCAGACAATGTAAAGGTCTACAAGTACATTCAAACAATCTAGGCCTACAGTGCACTCTTAAGACTAGAATATTCACCCTTTAAAAAAGTTCTCAATGCTCCAGTTTTGAGAGGAGAGAGGAGAGAGGAGAGAGGAGGGAGGAAGAGGAGGAAGGATAGAGTGAGAGAGGTGAGAGGTGATAGGAGAGAGAGAGAGAGAGAGGAAGAGGAGAGAGGAGGGAGGAGGAGGAGGGATGGAGAGAGGAGAGAGGAGGGAGGACAGAGGACAGAGGAACAGAGGGAAGAGGAGGGAGGTGACAGAGGAGGAGGAGGGAGGAGGTAGGAGGGAGGAGAGAGGAGAGAGGAGGGAGGAGGGAGGAGGGAGGAGAGAGGAGGGAGGAGGAGGAGGGAGGAGGGAGAGAGAGAAGAGGAGAGAGGTGAGAGGAGAGAGGGAGAGAGGAGAGAGGAGAGAGAGAGAGGAGAGTGGAGAGAGGAGAGAGGAGAAGGAGAGAGGAGAGAGGGAGAGAGGAGAGAGGAAGAGAGAGGGAGGAGAAGGAAGAGGAGAGGAAGAGAGAGGGAGGAGGAGGAGAGAGTGAGAGGAGAGAGGAGAGAGTGAGAGGAGGAGGAGGGAGGAGGGAGGAGAGAGAGAGAGGAGGGTGGAGGGAGGAGTGAGGAGAGAGAGGGAGGAGAGAGGAGTGAGGAGAGAGGAGAGCGGAGAGAGGAGAGAGGAGGGAGGAGGGAGGAAGAGAGGAGAGAGGAAGAGGTGGGAGGAGAGAGGAGAGAGGAGAGAGGAGAGAGAAGAGGAGGAGAGAGGAGAGAGGAGAGAGGAGGGAGGAGGGAGGAGGGAGGAGGGAGGAGAGAGGAGAGAGGAGAGAGGTGGGAGGAGGAGGTGAGAGGAGAGAGGTGAGAGGAGGGAGGAGTGAGGAGAGAGGAGAGAGGAGAGAGGAGAGAGGATGAGAGGAGAGAGATGAGAGGAGAGTGGAGGAGGAGGGAGGAGGGAGGAGGGAGGAGAGAGGAGAGAGGAGGGTTGGACAGAGGACAGAGGACAGAGGAGAGAGGAGGGAGGAAGAGGAGGGAGGAGAGGAGGGAGGAGGGAGGAAGAGGAGAGAGGAGGGAGGAGGGAGGAAGGGAGGAGGAGGAGGGAGAGGGAGGAGGGAGGAGAGAGGAGAGAGGAGAGGAGGAAGAGGAGAGAGGAGAGAGGAGGGAGAGAGAGGTGAGAGAGAGAGGAGAGAGGAGAGAGGAAGAGAGAGAGGAGAGATGAGAGAGGAGGGAGAGAGAGAAGAGAGGATAGAGGAGAGAGGGTGAGTGGAGAGAGGAGATAGAGGAAGGGAGGAGAGAGGAGAGAGGAGAGAGGGTGAGTAGGAGAGAGGAAGGGAGGAGGGAGGTGGGAGTGTGTGGAGAGAGAGTATGAGGAAGAGGAGAGATGAGGGAGGAGTGTGGAGTGAGGAAGGGAGGTGAGGAGTAGTGGTGTTGTGGTGGGGAGGAGTGTGGTGAGAGGGTGTTGAGAGATGGGTGTGTGGATGTGTGGGTGGTGGTGGGGGAGTGAGGAGTAGTGGTGTGTAGGTGGGAGGTGTGAGGATGTGTGGATTAGTGGTGAGTGAGTGTGGTGAGAGGAGTGAGGTGGGTGGTGGGGGAGGGTGGTGGGAGGAGTGAGGAGAGAGGTGAGATGGTTGTGAGGGTGGAGGGTGTGTGTGGTGTGAGGAGAGTGGAGGGAAAGGTGAGAGGTGAAGAGGATGTGATGGATGTGAGGAGAGTGGAGAGAGGAGAGTGAGTAGGAGGTGGAGGGAGGAGGGAGGAGGGAGGAGAAGAGTGAGAGGTGGGAGGATCAGAGGACAGAGGACAGAGGAGGAGAGGGAGGAGAGAGGTGGGAGAGGGTGGAGGGAGGAGGGAGGACGAGAGGAGAGTGGAGGGAGGAGGGAGGAGGGTGGTGAGAGGAGGGATGGAGGTGGAGGGAGGAGGGAGGAGAGAGGAGAGTGGAGAGTGTGAGAGGAGAGAGAGAGAGGTGGAGGAAGAGGAGAGAGGAGAGAGAGAGAGAGTGAGGAGAGAGAACAGTGGAGAGAGGAGAGGAGGAGGGAGGGAGAGGAGAGTGGAGAGTAGAGAGAGGAGAGAGAGAGAGGATAGGTAGAGGACAGAGGACAGAGGACAGAGGAGAGAGGAGAGAGGAGAGAGGACAGCGGAGAGAGGACAGAGGACGGAGGAGGGAGGAGGGAGGAGAGAGGAGAGAGAGAAGAGAGGAGAGGACAGAGGAGAGAGGACAGAGACAGAGGAGGGAGGAGGTTGGACAGAGGACAGAGGAGGAGGAGAAGAGGAGAGAGAGAGAGGACGGAGGAGAGATACAGAGGACAGAGGAGGGAGGAGGAGGAGAGAGGAGAGAGGAGAGGAGAGAGGACAGAGGAGAGAGGCAGATGAGGAGGGGAGGAGGAGAGGAGAGAGGAGAGAGGAGAGAGGAGAGAGGAAGAGGAGAGAGGAGAGAGGACAGAGGACAGAGACAGAGACAGAGGAGAGAGGAGAGAGAGAGAGGACAGAGAGAGAGGACAGAGGGGGGACTGAGGAGGGAGGGAGGGAGGAGAGAGGAAGAGAGAGAGGAGAGAGGAAGAGAGAGAGGAGAAGGAAGAGGGAAGGAGGAGGGAGGATAGAGGACAGAGGAGAGAGGACAGCGAGGGAGGAGGGAGGAGAATAGTCGGGATGAGAGAGGAGTTTGGTGAGAGGCCACTCATCGACGAGATAGAGGAGAGAGGAGAGAGGAGGGAGGAGAGAGGACAGAGGAGAGAGGACAGAGGAGGGAGGAGGGAGGAGAGAGGAGGGAGGAGAGAGGAGGAGAGGAGAGCGGAGCGAGGAGCGAGGATGGAGGAGAGAGGAGGGAGGAGAGAGGGAGGGAGGAGAGAGGATAGAGATAGGAGGAGAGAGGTGAGAGGAGAGCGGAGAGAGGACAGAGGAGGGAGGAGAGAGGAGAGAGGAGAGAGGAAGAGGAGAGAGGAGAGGAGGAGGGAGAGGGAGGAAGAGGAGAGAGGAAGAGGAGAGAGGGAGAGAGGAGAAGGAGAGGAGGAGGGAGGAGAGAGGAGGAGGAGGGAGGAGAGAGGAGAGAGGAGAGAGAGAGAGAGGAGGGAGAAGAGAGGAGGGAGGAGGGAGGAAGAGAGAGGAGAGAGAGAGAGAGGAGAGAGGAGAGAGGAGAGAGGAGAGAGGAGAAGGAGAGAGGAGTGAGGAGGGAGGAGAGAGGAGAGGAGGAGAGAGGAGAGAGGAGAGAGGAGGAGAGGAGGGAGGAGAGAGGAGGGAGGAGGGAGGAGAAGGAGAGAGGAGAGAGGAGAGAGGAGAGAGGAGTGAGTGAAGGGAGGAGGAGAGGGAGACGGGAGAGAGACAGAGGAGAGAGGAGAGAGGAAGAGGAGGAGAGAGGACAGAGGAGGGAGGAGAGAGGAGGGAGGGAGAGAGGAGAGCGGAAGAGAGAGAGAGGAGAGAGGGAGAGGAGGAGAGGGAAGAGGAGAGAGGAGAGAGGAGAGAGGAGAGATAGGGAGGAGGAGGAGGAGGAGCCGAGGAAGAGAGGGAGAGAGGAGAGAGGAGAGAGGAGAGAGGAGAGAGAGGGTGGAGAGAGGAGGGAGGAGGGAGGAGAGAGGGAGAGAGGAGAATGAAGAGGAGGGGAGGAAGAGGAGGGAGGAGGGAGGAGAGAGGAGAGAGGAAAGGAGAGAGGAGAGAGGAGAGAGGAGAGAGGAGAGAGTAGAGAGGAAGAGGAGAGCGGAGGGAGAGGGAGGAGGTAGGAGAGAGGAAGAGGAGAGAGGAGGAAGAGAGAGTAGAGAGTAGAGAGGAGGAGGAGAGAGGTAGGGAGAGGGAGGCAGAGAGGAGAGCGCGAGCGGAGCGAGGAGCGAGCGGTCGGATTCTGAGAGATGGAGATATAGAGAGGAGGTGCTGCTGGAGAGGGAGGAGAGCGGAGAGGGCGTGCGGAGACTGAGGAGGTACGTTCCGGGGGATGAGGGCGGAAGAGGAGAGAAGGCGAGAGGAGCTCATGAGGTAGGAGGGACTAGGGAGACGGGCGGAGAGAGACGAGGGAGGAGAGAGGAGGAGGAGGGGAGAGGGGAGGCAGAGATGATATATAGAGACGAGGAGAGGCACTGGAGGGACTGGCAGGGAGTAGGGGATGAGGAGGAGAGAGGAGGAGGAGAGAGGAAGCGGATGCGCATTTAGGAGGAGGAGGTATGCGGAGGAGGTCGGAGATAGGCGAGAGGCGAGAGGAGGAGGAGAGAGGAGGGAGGAGGAGGAGAGAGGAGAGAGTAGAGAGGAGACGAGTAACGATGAGAGAGTAGAGAGGAGAGAGCAGAGAGGAGAGAGAGAGCGGCAGGGAGGAGGATGGAGGGAGGAGTATAGGAGAGAGGAGCGAGGATAGAGGATCGAGGAGAGAGGAGAGAGGATGGAGGATAGAGGAGGCGAGGAGGGAGGAGAAGGAGAGAGGAGAGAGGAGAGATGAGAGAGGAGGGAGGAGGGAGTAGAGAGGATAGAGGAGACGAGGACAGATGACTAGAGGAGAGAGGCGAGAGGAGAGAGGACAGAGGAGGGAGATAGGGAGGGAGGAGAAGGAGAGAGGAGATCGAACGAGAGGGAGATAGGTAAGAGAGGAGAGAGGAGGAGCGTAGAGAGAAGAGAGAAGAGGAGGGAGAGAGAGGAGAGAGAGAGAGGAGAGAGGAGAGAGGAGGGAGGATGTAGGAGTCGGAGCGAGGATCAGAGGAGAGAGGAGATAGGAGAGAGGAGAGATGCTAGCAGGTACATTAGGCGGAGAGGGCGGAACTCTAGGAGAGCTTAGAGCGGCGCGAGGAAGAGGCGAGCGGATAGAGTCGGTCGTAGACGCGGCTACTACGGCGCAGAGAGGCGGAGAAGACAGGCGAGAGGAGGGAGAGAGAGGACAGAGGCAGCAGAGGAGCGAGGATAGCGGAGGGAGGACAGCGGGATCTCGGCGACGCGGCTACGAGAGGGAGGACGGAGGAGATCGCCCGCAGTATAGCGGCTCGATGCGCAGAGATGGCTGCCATACATGGATACAGACTGCGACGAGCGCAGAGGAGGGAGGAGGCAGAGCGAGGAGAGCGGATAGAGGAGACAGGAGTGAGAGGGCTGAGATTTGCCCCGAGTAACTCGTAGTCGTGGCATCGACGGAGCACGTCGATACGAAGAGGACGAGAGGAGAGAGGAGAGAGGGAGAGAGGACAGCGCTTCTATACGGCGCGACGGATAGCGTGAGTGGACATTGGCTAGCGGCTGAGCGTGATCTCAGTAGGGCGTAGATCTTCGGGAGTAGTGCTTCTTGCTTGAGAGAGTGAGCGAGGAGGGAGGATGAGGAGGGCGGAGTGAGTGATCGGCTGCGCTCATTATGCTACGCATGTCGGGCTTCGCTCGGCGCGCGTATTTCTGATCCGTCGGCGCTGCGGAGGGCATTCGTTTATGCGGGCTGAGCGACGTAGCGCTGTGCCCGTCGCATCTTCGGTGCTTCTCTCTTCTCGAGTCTTTCTTGGCGCGCTGCTCCGCGGTCTCTTCTGAGTGCGGTGGAGGAGAGGGAGTGAGGAGGGAGGAAGGCGGAAACGTGTCTCCGGGCAGTGTCCTGGGACTCTTCACACACAACTCTTCAGCCTTTCCCCCCAAACTTTCACCCACTGTCTCTTCCCTTTGTGCCCCCGAGTCTTCTCCGCTGGAGGCTGAACGCGGTGATCAAGATGTCTGTAGCAGGGTTGAGGAAGCAGTTTTACAAAGCCAGCCAGGTTTGCACAACTTTTCCCCCTCTGTCTGTTAGCTACTGTCACTATGTTAGCAGTTAGCATCTGTTAGCTTCTGTTAGCTTCTGTCAGTATGATAGCAGTTAGCATCTGTTAGCTTCTGTCAGTATGATAGCAGTTAGCATCTGTTAGCTTCTGTAACTATGATAGCAGTTAGCATCTGTTAGCATCTGTCACTATGATAGCAGTTAGCATCTGTTAGCTCCAGCGGCTAAATATGTAACGTTAATGTGGATATGGCAGAGCTGTTGGGGTCTTGTGGGCACAGATGAGAGGCGATGTCCAGGGGTTAAAGGCTTCACCAGAGCCGAGATGTTTACGCTAGCTCTGGGCTCATGTTTGTGAAGTTATTGTTGCCTCACTGCATTTCCAATCTACATGAAGTGAAGTATTGACTTTGTTGTAGGCTCAGCTGTTGCAGTTTTGTTTTACCACGAAGCACCACTGCCACTTTGTGATTTAGGTAAACTTGCGAATTGTGCTCATTTTTTTGTTTATGCAAATATTCTATACTGGAAATGATCACAGGCGGCGGTCAGATGTTATTGTGATACCAGCCACATAAACTGCCTTCAATATAGAATAATGTAGAATACAAGAAGGGTGGAAAGCTTAATAATCCTTTGGGCCAGATGTGTGCCAGTGAATGTTTTTCATTTCAGCAGGTCTGCTGATGGGCGGGGAATGTAGATTCTTGCTTTTTCCCCTCTGCTGCTGATCTAGCAGGAAAAAGAGATGTGGTTTTTGCCCAAGTTTCCTGTCAGGAACACTGATTTCTGATGATGAACAAGTGAAAAGAGCGGACATGTCAGGGCTGTGATGTGTGCAGTACAAAGACATGTTCATAAGTTACTGCTGCTCTCCTCTGCAATGCAGCTGCTGTTTCTTGCCAAAACTCTGGGTCAATAACCCTGGATATAGCGCCTATATTCTTCACTTCACTTTATCTGCAGGAACTTTAGTAAAACTTTTACTTTTTTAAGTCCACTAAAGTCATTCATATTCATTTCAAGTTAATCATGTCAAAGGTTCTGTGGAGAAGGTACAACTCAGGAGAACGAGGCCATTTACTGTAAATAAGTCATTCCCACATCCATTTCCAGACCTGGACCAACTAAGATTAAGGCTTCTTTCTATTTCCTGCAGTCAAAACAACAATGTTCACTAACAGAGAATAATCTGTCAAACAATTGGCAAGAGATTGGTGTTTCAAGGTGAGCCTTGAAGCTACAAAAACAGCTATGTTTAGTCCTCCAGCTTTTGTTATAAACTTAAAAATGGAGAATCCATGTCTTGCAAACCTTATAACATAACATATAATTATAAAATGCACATTTTATAATTTTATAAAATGTGCATTATCCAAATACGTCTGTGTACACGATTCTTTTCATAAATGGCCCTGGTTGTTGAATACTGGAGATTATTTATTGGAGTAATTAATTGTTTATTAGTTAGGTTAGAACACACATGGCTGTGAATATGGTTTTGTATCTTACATCTTAAAGATAAATTTAACAAATTATCAATATCCATCCATCCATCCATTTTCTTCCGCTTTATCCGTTGCCGGGTCGCGGGGGCAGCAGTCTAAGCAGAGACGCCCAGACTTCTCCACACACACTTCCTCCAGCTCGTCCGGGGGGACCCCAAGGCGTTCCCAGGCCAGCTGAGAGACAGTCTCTCCAGCGTGTCCTGGGTCTTCCCCGGGGCCTCCTCCCGGTGGGACGTGCCCGGAACACCTCCCCAGGAAGGCGTCCAGGAGGCATCCTGAACAGATGCCCGAGCCACCTCAACTGGTTCCTCTCGACGTGGAGAAGCAGCGGCTCTACTCCGAGCTCCTCCCGTGTGACCGAGCTCCTCACCCTATCTCTAAGGGAGCGCCCAGCCACTCTGCGGAGGAAGCTCATTTCGACCGCTTGTATCCGCGATCTCGTTCTTTCGGTCACTACCCAAAGCTCATGACCATAGGTGAGGGAGGGGACGAAGATTGACCGATAAATTGAGAGCTTTGCCTTTCGGCTCTGCTCCCTCTTTACCACAACGGTCCAATACAGAGACCGCATCACTGCGCACGCTGCACCGATCCGCCTGTCAATCTCACGCTCCATTCTTCCCTCACTCGTGAACAAGACCCCGAGATACTTGAACTCCTCCGCTTGAGGAAGGACCTCTCCACCCACCTGAAGAGGGCAAGGCACCTTGTTCCGGTCGAGCACCATGGCCTCGGATTTGGAGGTGCTGATTCTCATCCCAGCCGCTTCACACTCGGCTGCAAACCGTCCCAGTGCATGTTGTAGGTCCTGGTTCGTTGGAGCCAACAGGACGACATCATCCGCAAAAAGTAGAGATGAAATCCTGTGGTCTCCGAACCAGACCCCCTCCGGCCCCTGGCTGCGCCTAGATATTCTGTCCATAAATACAGTGAACAGAACCGGTGACAAAGGGCAGCCTTGGCGGAGGCCAACATGCACCGGGAACAGGTCTGACTTACTGCCGGCAATGCGAACACAGCTCTGGCTCCGGTCATACAGGGATCGAATGGCCCTCAGCAGAGGACCCCGGACCCCGTACTCCCGGAGGACCCCCCCAAAGGACACCCCGGGGAACACGGTCGAACGCCTTCTCCAAATCCACAAAGCACATGTGGACAGGTTGGGCGAACTCCCATGAACCCTCGAGTATCCGATGGAGAGTATAGAGCTGGTCCAGTGTTCCGCGGCCGGGACCAAAACCACACTGCTCCTCCTGAATCCGAGATTCGACCATCGGACGTAGCCTCCTCTCCAGTACCTTGGAGTAGACCTTACCGGGGAGGCTGAGGAGTGTGATCCCGCGATAATTGGAACACACCCTCCGGTCCTCCTTCTTGTAGAGGGGGACCACCACCCCGGTCTGCCACTCCATTGACACCGCCCCCGATCGCCACGCGATGTTGCAGAGACGTGTCAGCCAAGACAGTCCTACAACATCCAGAGACTTTAGATAGTCAGGACGGATCTCATCCACTCCCGGCGCCTTGCCACCATGGAGGCTGCCAACCACCTTGGTGACCTCGGCCAGGGAGATGGAAGTATCCGCCCCAACATCCTCAGCCTCTGCCTCCTGGACGGAGGACGTGACGAGGGGGTTGAGGAGAACCTCGAAGTATTCTTTCTTTCTTTCTTTAACATATCTTTATTACGAGGAATAGCCTCTTGAGATGCATCATCTCGTTTTCAGGAGGGTCCTCAAAAATAGCAACACAAGTAGCAGCAGCGGTTGTCAAACAAATGCAGTTACAGTAAAGTGTAACAAATAAAAAACATAACAAATTACAGTAAATAAATTCAATAAAATAACAGACAAAAAAACAATACAAGGACAGAAACATTCACTCACACACACACACACAGAGCTCTCAGAGGTCACCCTACTCCTCAAACTAGGACAGTGAAAACCAAAGGATATAATATTTAAAAGAAAGTATTCCTTCCACCGCCCGACAATATCCCCAGTCGAGGTCAGCAGCTCTCCACCCGCACCGTATACGGTGTTGGCAAAGAACTGCTTCCCCCTCCTGAGGCGCCGGACGGTTTGCCAGAACCTCTTCGAGGCCGACCGATAGTCATGCTCCATGGACTCTCCAAACTCCTCCCAGTCCCGGGTTTTTGCCTCTGCAACAGCCCGGGCCGCGGCACGCTTGGCCTGTCGGTACTGGACAGCTGCCCAAATTATCAATATTACAATTCAATCTACAAATTATCTGAACATTTGTTCAGTCCTGTTATTCGTGTCCTACTTTTTCACACCTCTTGCTGACCTGGCTTTGAGGTCTGATGCATCATTTATTTAATGTGCAGATCTGCTCTTCTTCAAAACATACTCCATTTGACTTGAGGCTACCTTAGGGCCGTAAATAATTATATTTTTTAATTAATAGATTAGTTTTAGATCATAAATATCAGTGAATATGGCTTTTTTTCTATATGTGACCAAAACAAAGTTCACAAAAACAGACTTGTTACACATGGGGTTGTTTGCTAAAAAAAAGAATAATAAAAGTTATATCCTTGGTGGGCTTGATTGACAAATATACTCTAGATAGGAGTGGACACATGTCTTGTTTCTGAAAATACTAAAGAGAAAAAAACATCTTTATGCTTCTTTAGGCCTGTAATTAAAAGTGCATTCCTCAACTGCCTTGGTGGTGGCGGCTTTGTTTTTGCTTGGGAACGTCTATGTTGCCTGGATATTTAGTTTTAAACTGTATCAGGTTTAATACAGTTTAAACCTGATACAGGTATCGGTATCATACCTCAGACCATTTTACAAAATCAGGGTCTCAACTAGGACAGCACATTTAACTATAATTTTGAGAACCCATTTTTTGCATCAGTCTTGAAAAGATTGTGAATGTGGGATTCAATGAATTTTACCAAAAATGAACTGATGCCATTGGAGAACACAAATGTTTTTTGGAGACATTTCCATTTCTTTCTGTTGTAGCTGCACCTCTGAGTCATAAAACCGCTTCACAGCATGTCTAAATCTGCGTCTGGTTAAAAACAGTGATTCACAGATTAACTTGCAGCCCTATGCTTCTTAGACCCACCTCAATATTGTTTTCTGTTTGGCATAGCAGAAGACCTTGTTTATAGTAGAAGTGAATTACATAATTTCAGCCATGTTGTTTTTCTGGGAGTGCAGAGCGGCTGCAGCAGCTGCCACCGATCTAAAGGGAGAAAGGCTGGTTCTCTCACTCTGCTCATGTGGTCTTCTTTCCATCATACACTTGTGCTATACTTTATATTCACTTTTTAATGTTGTGTTTGTGTGCGCCTTGTTCCTTCTGTTCTGTAACCTGTGACACAACACTGCAATTTCCTCACTGTGGGACAAATAATGGATCTGTTAATCCTAATCTTAAAAGGAGCATCTTGTGGATAGTGCCTCGTACTTGAGTTAAATGGTTTGTGTTAGAAAACATTATGAATAACACTTAAGACTGAGGAAGACTATCCACAGCCAAGGCCTTTTGTGTAAACCTCTTTCCCTGTCTCCAGCTGGTGAGTGAGAAAGTGGGCGGTGCAGAAGGAACCAAACTAGATGAGGAATTCAAAGACCTGGAACGGGTAAGAGATACATTTGTAAAAGGAAAGCTGTGTATTAATGGTTTCATCACATTCTATTCATCACTATTAAAAACATGTTGTTTTCTCTTACACAGAAAGTAGATGTGACGAGTAAAGCAGTAGTAGATGTCATCTCAAAAACATCAGAGTACCTTCAGCCCAATCCAGGTCAGACTTTTGAACTCATGTTGAGATTGGTAACGGTTTCTCTGATTAAACAACCCACATCCCCATCGTTTTGGAATTTGATATTTTAACTTTGTTACAACTCTGGCTCAGGAGCAGGAACAACGAGGGTAGACCACACAAGCAATGAAGTTTTTAAGTATTTAATTAACAAAGAGGATATGAACGTGTATCAGTGGTGTGTGCCGTGTTGACTGTATGTGAGGTGGAGCAGTATGTGGATAAATCAACTAAACTAAACCAAGGTAAACGTGGAGCCGCCGGGGGTCTGGGCAGCAGAGAGGGCAGACACTCTGCCAGCTGTGCTCCATTTATGCTGAGGAGGACAGGGGCCAGGGCCCAGCGAGGCCCCCAACCTCCTGTCCTGACAGGAAAACAGCAGTCAAAATAAGAGTCACATTTACTTTTATAATGATGATGGTGAAAAACAAAAACGTTTTTAACAATTATGGGGATTTCTATGGAGATTTGTTATGTACTATATATAACTATATATATAACTATATATATATATATATATATATATATATATATATATAATCATTATATTTTATTTTTTTGTCTTTTCCAATATTCAGCTGTTATTGTAATTAGACGTTTATTATATTTTTGCAGCATCCAGGGCCAAACTGTCCATGTTGAACACAGTGTCTAAGATCCGTGGCCAAGTGAAGAACCCGGGCTACCCCCAGGCAGAAGGCCTGATGGGAGAGTGCATGGCCAAATATGGACGAGAGCTGGGAGAAGACACTAACTTTGGTTTGTTTATGGTTAATCTCATATGTCATTATACAGTATGTTGTTTATAACTCCAGAGTGGGTGATCTTAATAATGTATTGCTTCAGACATTACTAACAGTTTAAGTAGCCCCATGCAGAATGTTTCCTGAAGACTGGCTCATAAATCTATATTTAATGAGGCGGCATGTTTGCGTGGCAGGAGGAGCGCTGTTTGATGTGGGCGAGTCCATGAAGAGGCTGGCAGAAGTCAAAGACTCTCTGGACATCGACGTCAAGCAGAACTTTATCGACCCGTTACAGGGGCTTTGTGACAAGGACCTGAGAGAAATACAGGTACATGATTAGAACAGAAATGAAACTTTAAAAAACCACATTCCTTCATAGAGTTCATATCAGTTTGTAGAGATATGGATTTACGGAGTTTAGTCTCTATTTTATTTTTGTTGTAATGTTTTTACCCCCAACCCTAACCATTGAGCCAAAACGTCAAAGCAGACGTTATAGATCTTTGTGCACACAATAGTTACAGGAGCAGGACAGTTCATCATAGTGTCAATCAAACTCGTGTGCGTCCAGGGTTGAATTTTATATTTATTTATATTTAGATGTTGTTCTGTGGTATTTCAAATATGATTGAGTATTGTAGAGCAGCCTTGGTGTTGCCAGGTTTCCCTCGATTCCACCATTTCTACAGAAATGTGTGCTGAAGTTTGCACAGAGGGAGAGAGAAAAGAGGGCAGCAATTCCCCCAAACTCAAGTCTTACAGGGCGTCTTGATGATACCTGTCCCAAAGTCCTATTACCCTCGTCTAATAGATTACTGCTATCCCTAAATATTAACTGATTGTTTCATAATATATTGTCACAAATCAGCATATCCTTGTTAAGGCAGCAATGCAAAAATATTGGGCATGGAGGGAGCAGACGAGCCAGGAAAGAGCATAAGACACGACAGAATGCAAGTGTGTGATACAGCATGGAGGAATGCAGTCAGCAGCTCCACGGTGCCTTGTAGCTTGGCCTTCAGAAATCAAAACAAGGGAAAAGTAACAGTTTCTTCAAAGTGTCATGAAATATCTAAACTAGAAACAAGGAAACGTGAGATAAAACATGAAGTTCACTTCAGCTCGTGTTCAAGGATGTGAATCAGTGTGGAGGCGTTAAAGGCCCTGTTTTCCCCCTCCTGGTTTAATAAAGAAATACAAACATATGTTCCATGCTCCGTCCATGCTAAGCTGTTCATTCAGCTTGCTGATGTCAATGTTTTTACATTTATTCCACTGTAAATGTAAACTGTTTCAAAGATGCCAGAACTCCCTTGGAAAAATTTTATAGACAGGGACTGCGTTGTTAAATACATGTTAAATAAATAAGCTCAAACACATGTAGGTGCCATTCCAGCTCAGATTGCTGATCAGAGTAAGGGATTGTGATTTCAGCACCACCTGAAGAAGTTGGAAGGTCGCCGGCTTGATTACGATTACAAAAAGAAGCGCCAGGGAAAGATCCCTGATGAGGAGATCCAGCAGGCCCTGGAGAAGTTTCATGAGTCCAAAGAAGTGGCCCAGACGAGCATGTACAACCTGCTGGAGACGGATGTGAGTAAGACTCTGACACGGCACCAGTTTAGCTCGTATGGTTCAAAGGTCATCACTTTTAAATGGTTTCTGATTTAAGACAAGTTGATCCAAAGATCTGATGAAGAAAATATTTATAATACAGATAGAACCAAATAGTTTTTAGACAAAGGAACTCGTTACTTACATAGTTCCATTGTTATAACAACTGTCTAATATAAGTGGAGTCTTTAGGACAGGGTTCTCCAACCTTTTTCTTTTGGAGAGCTACTTTTATCTCCTTGAGCAGTTAATACAATTGTAGTCTATAATAGCTACAGCAAATCATGGAGAACACGCATGCACAATATACCATATACTGTACAGCATCCATGTATTAATTAAAGATGTATCGTTAAAATAGTAGTTGCAATGACTCGTAAGTTAATCATTCAGGATCATGTGTTAAATTCTTGAATCCTTTGGGGAGCTACCTACAAGAAAGTGGCGAGCTACTGGTAGCTCCCGAACCACAGGTTGGAGACCCCTGCTTTAGGATTTGTCAAGGTTTCTTTTTCCTGACCTTCAATTGCTTTTCCTCCTTTTATGTCACTGTCGCTCCTCTGTATATGGCCTGTAGTGGAGGTTGTTGTCCATCCAAACCCTGTGATGTGTGTGTGATGTGTGTGTGTGTGTGTGTGTGTGCGTGTGTGTGTGTGTGTGCGTGTGTGTGTGTGCATGCGCAGATCGAGCAGGTGAGTCAGCTGTCCTCTCTGGTGGAGTCCCAGCTGCAGTACCACAGAGAGGCCGTGCAGGTGCTGGAGGAACTTTACAGCAAGCTCCAGGAGAGGTGCCCCCCACATGCACAAACCAAACACAGACACAATTTGGCACAACAGTTGAAGTCACTAACTGACACTTTGGGCTGAGAGCTGATGAGCTCCTGATCACCAAAAGACAGCCATCTTGGAAGTTTATGATTGATTGAGGCAAAAAATGTTACCTTGACGTTTCACACTTTGATGATGTTCGGTAGAATCCCTGAGAGGCAAGACACAGGAAAACATTTGAATGGGATGATCTTATTCATGTGTGTGTTTGGACATTGATTTAATAATTTATTTAAAAAACAAAGTATTACTTATAATCAAGATCACCCCGCTCTAATTCGCAGCTACATGAAAAGGAGCCATGGTTAAGCCTTTTTAATTTGTGGTTCATTTTATGGGATGTGGGACAAAGGAGGTCACCGATAAATCAACAGTTTGCTAAAGAAAGAACACACATGTTGGCATTTGCTATCTGCCCTAAACCATAACATCAGCAGGAGATGACTCTAAGCACAAGTGGACTGGCTTTGAAGGTGTTTGTGTTGTTGGAAACAGGGTGACGGAGGCTCAGACACGCCCCAGACGTGAATATACACCGAAACCCAAACCCGTGTATGACTTTGGAGACAACAGCCATTCAAACGGAGGATACACTTCCTCCATGTCTGCACCACCGTCACGCAACTCCGGTAAAGTATTTATGTATCCTCTAGAGATAATGTGTGAATTTGTGACGATGTTATTTACCTACAGTTGACTTTTAGAGTATGAACAGAGTGTGGATGACATGCCTCTCATACCTGACGTGTTATGTCATGACACAACAGCAACATGAACAAAGGCTGGGACTGTTTTATCTCGAGGATATGATGAAATGAACCTGTTAAAGTGTGTGTGTGTGTGTGTGTGTGTGTGCGCGCGTTATCTCTCTGACCTAATTGCTCTCTCCTGTGACACATCAGAGTCGTCTTTGCACTTGACCAGATTTTCTTTTCGGAAACCCAAATTGTGTGAGTCAGTGTGTGAGGCCGTTTGTCTTTCGTAACTCTTGTTTGTGGTCACTGCTGCATGGCCTTCCTGTGCGATGTACAGAATCCTGCTTTGCAAAGTGTGACAACACAATAGAAGTAATTGTGGTTCAATCTACATTTATAAAAAGGACAACACTAAGTTTCCTGTTTCTCGTGTGTTTGTCCTAACACAAGTATTTGAATAACATTCTGCGAACAACTCAGTCTGACTGTCGAATCTGTTCACCTTATTAGAGAGGTTGTCTTTTACATACTGAGAGCTGATTGGCTGAGAGAGGGATGGTACTTTCTTCTTCAAAAAGCTGACTCAAAGGAAAATTACATGATTGTGAAAACTAGTGCTAGAACCAGACTGTTGAAAGCGCTGGGAACGCGTTACATGGATTTTATTCCATAGTTATTTGTTTGTGGTTTCAACATGAGGTACTCCAGCTTTAGTCATTGATTCCCCAAATTAAATGTATCACTGGTTTGTTTGGCTTGACATGATACACTGTGATTTCTCAGGAACTGTAGCATTTGTGTGCGGGCTTCAGGGACCGTGGGACACAAAGAGAAAATTGTTAGGAGACAAAAAGCCTGGTTTGTGTGTCGGCCTCGGACGATCTGCCTGAGGTCACGAACAGCCACGCACAGAAAACTCACTCAAGTGATGGGGCTGAGTCATAGGAGTTTGTACAACACGGTGCATTACTAATATCTATGATCCAGAAAAACTAATCAGCATGCGTTTTAAGTCACAAAGAAAGCATTGTTAAAGGAGAGATATTATTCAAAATCCACTGTTTTGAGCTTGTTACATCATTGATCCCGCTTCTAATCCGGCACGGTGGTTGAGTGGATAGCACTCTCGCCTCTCAGCAAGAAGGTCCTGGGTTCAAATCCCGGTTGGACCAGGGCCTTTCTGAGTGGAGTTTGCATGTTCTCCCTGTGTCTGCGTAGGTTTCCTCCGGGTGCTCCGGTTTCCCCTACCACTAAAAATATGTACAATAGGTCTGGCATGTGCCTCCTGTACTGGCACCCCCACTCCCAAAAAATAACAATTGTAAACCGCTTTGAGACTCCGATGTGCAGTGAAAAGGCGGCATATAAATAAAGATTACTTACTTACTAAAAGACACCGGGATCTCGATTAAGTTTAGTTTAGTTTAAGTTTATTAAGGAAAGCCCCTTGAGATAAATCATCTCATTTTCGAGGGGGTCCTAAACATAAACAAACACACATACACAAAAAGCAATTTACAGCGAATTAAAGATGAGAAAAGTTAATTAAACACACACAAAGACAAACAAAACAAACAACAAAATATAACAAAACAAATGCTCCATCGCACCCCACTCCTCCCCTCCGCTGAAATTAAACATATAGGAAAGAGAAAAATAAAAAAAAATAAGTAAAACTATTAACAATAATGACACAGAACATTAGTGACATAAACAAGGAGTTTCAAGAAACCTAAATAATTCAAACTTAAATAAACCTTGATTAAGAAGCTTGCTTACGCCCGAAACAGAGTCAGAAAGTGTGTGTTGATTCTGTCACTTAAAGTTTATCCAAACCTTCTCCGAGGCATCTTTGAGCCACGAACGTGCCCAAAACGCAGAGCGGCGGAGCGTCTGAAGTTTGTCCATGTGTCCGTGCATGTAATGTGTCTCACGAGCACATTTACATGCTAAGTACACACGTGCATGCAAGCGTGTCTGATGGTCGAACTAAAGACATTCCTTCTCTGTCCCTCTCTCTTAAGCCTAGCGTACATCGACATAGAAACTGGGGACAACTAGTTGCAAGGCGGCTTTTGGCAACTGAGAGGAGATGGTGGGAGATGATCAGTTGCCGAAATCGGTCGATGTGCGCGCTCTTACAACTGGAGATGATCAGTCGGTCTCCAGTTTCAGTCAGTTGCCCGTGTTCTACTTTTCGGCAACGAGTTGTCCTCAGTTTCGGAGATATGATCGATGTGCGCGCTCCATGCGCCGCTCCGACAACGTGTGTGTATTGCGCGCCCGCAACAGTTTATGTCAGAAAACACACTGTGGTTGAGGCCAGTTGCTGTCGATGTACGCGCTGTTATTCCCGAGACTGGTCTGCTACTGGGAGTTGCCCGTTTTCGTCAGATTGTCGATGTGTGCGGGGCAGCAACTCATATGCGACGGATATAATCAGTTGCCAGTTCGATGTACGCTAAGCTTTATGCTCTTCATTCACACATGCAGACACACACACGCTGCCCACCACAACACACTCACACCTGCGCGTGCACGTCTCAGCGGTACAAAGCCCTAATGTAAATAAACAGTGCCACTCTCTACGTCCTCAGGGCGATCATAAACAGTTTCCAAAACGTCCTCTCGTCTGTCTGCGCTGTCTCCACTGAGCTGCACATAGGGCTGGGCGATATGGCTGAAAACTATATCACAATATAAGTCATTCATATCGGTCGATAACGATATATATTGAGTTTTTTTTTTTTTAACCTAAATAAATATATTTGTGGTGTGGGCTAACCAACCTTAGCAGCCTTGTTTACAGTCACGGGGCGATGAGGCTGGAGGAATATGTTCACACTGTGTCCCTCGTTGTTAGTCCTGGTTTATTCCTGGTTTAGCTCCTGGTTTAGCTCCTGGTTTAGCTGTTTGAGGGTCTTGTGTCCCCGTGACCGCTCTGTGCGGCTCTCTGTGCCGCACATGGTTCCCGAGGAAAAAGTTAATCTCTTGCTTTCGCCGAATACATGGTGTCTGTCCACTGCCTCTGCCGCCGCACATGTTATTCCGCGCACGTACGTGCATAACCATTGACACGGCATTGAAACACGAGCTATAGATCCATGGACGCCACGCATGCTGCGGTTGTTGTTGTTTTTGCATTTTCCACAAAGTTTTGCGGTTCCTGCTCGGCTGTTATTGGTCGAGAAGCCTCTGCCTACATCCCCCACAATGCCATGCGCTTATGAGTCGGCTTTACTTCCGGTGTTTTCTTCCTGTTTTTCCTGACGGAGTTAAGTTAAACTATCGAACATTCTATCGACCCCATTCTCTATTGATATCGAACACATGTCTATCGCGATATATATCGTTATTGTTTTATCGCCCAGCCCTAGCTGCACATGACGATAAAACTGTCTGATTGTTGCCTAATTATTGTGTACATTTTATGAATTTGTCACTTTGCATATTCACGTGTGTTTGTGTCTTTGTGTGTGTGTATTTTTCTGTATTGGAATGTAGCAGACCCTTTGTTCCACACCAAATTTCTCCCAAAAGAGACGACAACAAAAAATCTTGAATCTTGATCTTGCGTGACCTTATATGGTGAGGGTGTGCAGAATCTTTTTTAACGTAAGTGAAGTATGTGCACTAATGAGCACACTCTACAACATCCACTTTTAGGAGATCTTTCTTAAATGAAATCCCTGGAGCTTTTTGAGATCCGGTCACGCTAATATGAGGAACTTCTGGCACAAACATGTAACTCTGCCCCTTTTGTCTAAAAACTGTAATTGTATGATGTCATTGAACCACTATGACGTCACGCTCGGAGCTCTTTTGCCTTTACAGTTTTGACAATTTCTCAGGTTAAATGTTCACGTTCTTTGCCAATTCAGTTTCAGTTTAGTTTATTTCAAAGGGGACAATGCAATTTAATAAAACACATGATTAAACATGAGTTTAAAAAGCCAGAATTAGCCAAGGAGGCTATTTTTCATCTGTAGTCCCCTGGCCGTGATGTTAAAAAAAAGCCATTAAAATACATTAACATTACAAAATGCATGACTGTGTTTGCAGCTGGTAATTTTCAAATGTCTTACAAAAATAAACTCAACTCCAACTCTGGAGTTCAGCGTAGGGAGTTAGTCAGAAAACACGTATTACCCTTTGTACGTGTTCCACCAAGGATTTTCTTCTGAAGATATTGTTTCACTTTAAAAACATGAATTTACAACACAAATTAGTCTCATTATCATGTGAAAGACCACAAAGAATGCAGAATATTTCCTCTTGGATACCTCATGTGTGTCAGCCATGCTCGTCTGTGGCCCCATGCTTTTGTACTTGTGCAGAAGTGTTTCTAAAAGCCATTGTTGTTTTTCTCCTCAGCTCCTGAACAGCCGAGCTGTAAGGCCCTGTACGACTTCGATCCAGAGAACGAGGGCGAGCTGGGATTTCGTGAGGGAGACATTATTATTTTAACCAATCAGATCGACGAGAACTGGTATGAGGGCATGCTCAACAGCCAGTCTGGATTCTTCCCTCTCAACTATGTGGAGGTTCTGGTCCCACTGCCGCATTAGGACCAGGGCCACCAGCTGGTTTAGAGGGTGAAGGGAGGACACCCTTTCAACGTCATCTATCGACACAATATTCATCTGGTTTACAAGACAAAAAAACTGTGGAAAAATGGAAAACTATACGAACATTTTAGAAAAAGTCACAGCTCCATTAAAAGAAAGACAACCTTCACTGTCGGCAGTAACGGGAAGTCCAACAGGCAGCATTAAACTCAATATTTCTCTCAGTGAAGATGACTTGTTTTGATGGGCTCTAGTTTAGCTCTTAGCGCCATCTGCTGGCTTATTCTAGAATAACTTTGTTTTAAGCCACAATCACATTCATTGTGGAACAGCGCCTTCATTTACACGTCTGGAGCTGAGATGTACACGTCAGGAGGAGGATGCAGAGGTGTCTTTAGCATCAGCATTGGCTCTGTGATGTTGGGAAACGTAACTTGCACATTGGTCTAGATGAGATTGACGAGCGTATAACAGAACGACTCCTTGTTGGCACCAAAGTAACACAAAACTTGCACCTTGACGTTGCTTGGTAGTGTTTGTTCAGTCTATTCTTGTCTTTTTATTAGAACTGAGTGAGCCAAAAATGTTTGTATGAAATGCATTCACAGAAAGTGTGCCTGTTGTAAAAACTCGGTTACCCAGCCATATTTCATGTTTTTCTGGTCTGATAATTTCACTTCATTCACACTTGCCTGAAGACGAGCGCTGCAGGCAGCCGCTCTGTCAGATTAACCTTTGTCTGTTATCTCATGTTAGAGATAACAGAGAGAAGTGTGCTGTTATTGGTGTATGACAGAGCAGTGAACAGACCTGTGCTGGCCAAAGCTGGCCAAAGCTGACTTCTGAAGGGTGCGGTGCACTCTGAGCTGTTGGAGGCAAAGGTCTGGAGAGAAAAGATCCAGCGGCAACACACTCTTCCAATCTCAGAATGAACTAAAAGACATAGTTGTCACTGTGTGACGTGTTTTACAGTGTCTTTGTGGTGTTGGAACAGCTCCCGCTGCGTTCTACATTTCCCAACGCTCCACTTCTGTCTCATTGTCTTTTTTACACCCGCACACGTCAGTATTTTGGGACAATGTGGAGTATGTTTAAAGCATGTTTCTGTCTCTTTTTTTTAAGATCAAAACTAAATGTTATACTTGGACTGAAACTGTATTTCTTTCTGTACATGTCCTACACTACAGAATACGTCTGAGACTGAGCAGCAGGTTCACATTGTAAATCCATGTCTTAATGTCCCTTTGCTCTAAGGGCTAATATAAGTGTATGTCCCTTTGCTCTAAGGGCTAATATAAGTGTATGTCCCTTTGCTCTAAGGGCTAATATAAGTGTATGTCCCTTTGCTCTAAGGGCTAATATAAGTGTATGTCCCTTTGCTCTAAGGGCTAATACAAGTGTATGTCCCTTTGCTCTAAGGGCTAATATAAGTGTATGTCCCTTTGCTCTAAGGGCTAATATAAGTGTATGTCCCTTTGCTCTAAGGGCTAATATAAGTGTATGTCCCTTTGCTCTAAGGGCTAATATATGTGTATGTCCCTTTGCTCTAAGGGCTAATATAAGTGTATGTCCGGTCTTGAGTGCTCTTTGGCCATCAGCAACACGGCTCTATAGTATTATTTTTTATATCAAAATACCTTGAACCTCTCAAAATAATCTTTGCATGTAGTCCCTTATGATACCTTTTTACATGTCTTTTTATCTTTGTTATGAGTAAACTTTAACCACAATACTTTTAGTACATAGATATTTGTACTCTTGTCTTGTCCTGCTCTGTGCCGTACTTAAAATAAAGTACAAAATATACGGAGTCTGTCATGTTTTTTTCCTTTATTATTTATAAAGTTTGGTTGGCCAGTTCTCAGTAATGTTTAGAGTCTGTCACTTCACCACAGCTTCACCGTAGCAAGACGGTTATATTTCAATTCCAAAAATTAATCACGACTATCAAAAAGTCCTAGTGGAATCAATGCCTTTTACAGACACTGCACCAGGCTGATATGACGGCATATAAAAAGTCAGTTATGTGTATTGTTTTAATTTCCAGTGTAAATATTTAACACGTATTGGTTCAGCAGTCATAAGGCCTTTCATGACATCCACAGTAAACAGTGTTGGTCAAGAGGAAGCCATAGTCCTTTACAACAGGACAGTTATGTGACCCGGCAGCACTTTGCAGCTTCTCAAAGTATTTACAAAAACATCTGTGCCTAACCACCTATAGTGCTACAATTCACAGTGACGGCAAGAGCTAACGACGACACCAACACGTTCACAAATATAGTGGATATATCTGCACAGACAGAACATAGGTTCACTTAATACTGTAACTCATATTTGTTAAGCATCTAAACATGTGGTCACTGTCATTGGAGGTGATTGAGCTGACTGTACACGTGCTCTAGGATCTGAGAGTAGGCCTGGTCTTTAGGGGCGTGGCAGCTCAAGGAACCCTGAAACACAATGGAAATAAAGGCAAGGCAAGTTTATTTGTATAGCACCATTCATACACAAGGCAACTCAAAGTGCTGAACAAAACAAGAAAGCATTAAAATCATAAATAATCACAGTATAAAAAAATAGATACAAATATAAAATCCCTCAGTTGTAGCACAGCTGAACAGAACTGTCTTTAACCTGGTTTTAAACATTGTCAGAGAGGAGGCCTGTCTCACATCTTCAGGAAGATTGTTCCAGATTTTAGCAGCATGAATCTGAAAAGCAGCCTCCCCATGTTTAGTTCTGACTCTGGGCACTAACAGGAGTCCAGTCCCTGTGCTCCTCAGAGTCCCAGCAGGAGTCCAGTCCCTGTGCTCCTCAGAGTCCCAGCAGGAGTCCAGTCCCTGTGCTCCTCAGAGTCCCAGCAGGAGTCCAGTCCCTGTGCTCCTCAGAGTCCCAGCAGGAGTCCAGTCCCTGTGCTCCTCAGAGTCCCAGCAGGAGTCCAGTCCCTGTGGTCCTCAAAGTCCCAGCAGGAGTCCAGTCCCTGTGGTCCTCAGAGTCCCAGCAGGAGTCCAGTCCCTGTACTCCTCAGAGTCCCAGCAGGAGTCCAGTCCCTGTGCTCCTCAGAGTCCCAGCAGGAGTCCAGTCCCTGTGCTCCTCAAAGTCCCAGCAGGAGTCCAGTCCCTGTGGTCCTCAGAGTCCCAGCAGGAGTCCAGTCCCTGTGCTCCTCAGAGTCCGGGCTGGTTCATATGGGACTAACATGTCACTAATATATTTTGGTGCGAGGCCATGGAGAGACTTGTAACAAGCAGAGCTGTTTTAAAGTCTATTCTCTGAGCCACAGGAAGCCAGTGCAGAGACCTGAGGACTGGACTAATGTGGTCGTACTTCCTGGTTCTAGTCAGGACTAATGTGGCCGTACTTCCTGGTTCTAGTCAGGACTAATGTGGTCGTACTTCCTGGTTCTAGTCAGGACTAATGTGGTCGTACTTCCTGGTTCTAGTCAGGACTAATGTGGTCGTACTTCCTGGTTCTTGTCAGGACTAATGTGGTCGTACTTCCTGGTTCTAGTCAGGACTAATGGTGGTCGTACTTCCTGGTTCTAGTCAGGACTAATGTGGTCGTACTTCCTGGTTCTAGTCAGGACTAATGTGGTCGTACTTCCTGGTTCTAGTCAGGACTAATGTGGTCGTACTTCCTGGTTCTAGTCAGGACTAATGTGGTCGTACTTCCTGGTTCTAGTCAGGACTAATGTGGTCGTACTTCCTGGTTCTAGTCAGGACTAATGTGGTCGTACTTCCTGGTTCTTGTCAGGACTAATGTGGTCGTACTTCCTGGTTCTAGTCAGGACTAATGTGGTCGTACTTCCTGGTTCTAGTCAGGACTAATGTGGTCGTACTTCCTGGTTCTAGTCAGGACTAAATGTGGTCGTACTTCCTGGTTCTAGTCAGGACTAATGTGGTCGTACTTCCTGGTTCTAGTCAGGACTGGAGCTGCTGCATTTTGAATGTACTTACAGCTGTTTTACAGCCTGTTTGGACAGACCTGTGAGCAGGCCATTGCAGTAGTCTAACCTACTGGAGACAAATGCATGGATAAGAATCTCCAAGTCTGCTTTAGACACTATGTTTTTGATCCTGGCAATGTTTTTTAGATGGTAAAAAGCTGCTGATGTTACTGATTTGATGTGGCTATTAAAATTTAAGTCTGAGTCCAGTATTACCCCTAGATTTCTGACCTTGTTTGAAGGTTTTAGGGAGAGAGACTGTAGGTGACATTGTAAAAGACAATTTTCACATGAAATTATGATGAAATTGTTCTCACCTTGATCTTGTCCATCATGGTGGTATCAGGACACCAGAACTGATTAAACTGCACCAGGTCTGCTGCTGCTCTGTAGTAGTCCACAAGCAGCATCTATGGAAGAAACCCAGACTGAGATGGAGCCACACGTCAGCAGCGCTACACAAGTCTAAACCAGTACCATTTCATTCAGGACGTCACTGGTGAGGAAGTTGTCCTGGACATAAGTGACTTCTACAGCTACTGGAATTCCATAGTCGTTGGGACGTTGCTAAACAGGAAAAGGAGCACCAGTGAAAATGCTTTGTCTCGACACGTGAAACTCGGAAAATATGGTTTAAAAGTTTATCTATTTCTGTAATTCAACTTCAATCCAAAATATGATGTAGACTTATTGCATGGAAAGGGACATGTTAGCCCATCCATCCATTTTCTTCCCCTTAATCCATTTCTGGGTCGGGGGGTGGCCCTCACTGATCCTCCTGCAGCTGCTGAGTCCACAGTAGCTCTGATCTATCAGTGGGGGCTACAGGCAAAGTGGGGTTAAGTGTCTTGCCCAAGGACACTACGACAGCAGACATCAGTGGGAGTCATGAAGTAGGTCTTGTGGTGGATTTGAACCTACGACCTTCAGGACCGAAGTCCGATGCTTTACCAACTGAGCTACTGTCGCCCCCTGTTCACCATTTAAAAAACAAAAATGTATGACAAAATGATCAACGTAAATAAAAGAAGGCTTGATATAATTCTTTGCGTGTAATGATCGGTCATATAATAGTATTTTCCGAGTTTCCCCTGTAAATACATGTCAAGTGTAAATACTAAATACATGAGATGGATATATATATATATACTGTCACCTCAGATGGTGGTACAACCCAGAACGGTGTGATGGTGGAGGCCACACCTTGGTTGCCATGGTAATACGGACCTAAATGAACACACATTTCACAAGCGTTTATTCGTCATTGTATTTTTTTGTCAGAACTTGCACGTCTCAGGGTTCACGTTAAAGCCAGGTCTGAAAGCTGTTTGTGGGTCGCAAGGAATTCACAAAAAGATCATGTCGCTGTTGCCACCTCGGGGGAAAAGCTGTTTTTTTGCAGCAAAACATGGACATTTATCATGTAACTAAAAGGACAGTGTTGATGATTCACATTTATGGACATTTACCATCATTTGTGGACATTTCCTGCCCCTAATGGACCAATGGTTCTATGTGTTTTCATCGTTGCATTTCTTGTTGTTTTTTTTTTATATACTTTATTGCGTCTTTGCAAACATCTCAGCAAAATCCAAGCAAAGCTCCAAAAACCATATTAGACACTTTTTTTTTAACCCATTGTGCCAAACAAGAAAAGCAAATAAAATATACAGATATACACATATACATATACATATATATATATATACACACACTTATTTACCACATTTACATACACACACACACACATATACATGCACACTCTACACACACCTACACTTGCACACACACACACACATACACACCTCAAAAGTAAACAAGGCCAAATAAGTAAATAACAGATTAGAAAAAATGAAAAAATTAAACTTCCCTCTGTCTTCGTTATAATCTGGGTAAATCTGACCACGTCGATGTGAAAATGTGGCTTTTACCTTTCATTTCGTACAACACCTTTCTTCATTTCCGTAGAAATGTTTTATCGAATCTATACATTTATCAAAGCGAGGTGGTTCAGAACTCTTCCGAAGTCTTGATATTTGCTTCAACGCCAAACATCGTAACATCCAGAATGAATAATGCTGTTCTTTTTTTAAACTTGGGTTGAAACTTGAGCAAGAGATTGTGTTTTTCTAATGTTATTTCTTTGCCACATATTTCTTTGAATAGATCCAAGTGTGGGCATTGCATTTCTTGTGTTGGAGTGTTGATTCTCTGATCCGTATTGGCAAACTGTTGTGATTTAGGGCTGTACAGGAACACTAGAATTAAATCATCTGGAGCTGCGCCAAAAGGAGAAACTGTTGATGTTGGAGGTGAAGTTGAGGACTTTATTTAAATCAACTCTCCAACTCTGCCTGGTACGAAGGGTATAAAAGAGACTTCTGAAACACTGAGCTCAGAGAGGTTTCCCGCACTGTCGGAGAGGTCTTTATTGACAGCACTCTCGCCTCTCAGCAAGAAGGTCTGTGTCTGTGTAGGTTTCCTCCGGGTGCTCCAGTTTTTCCTACCACTAAAAATGTGCACAATAGATATGAATGTAACGAGTGGATGAATGGATGGAGTTGGTTGAGGCTTTGAAGCACCTGTGTGTTCAGCGTCTCACTTCCGTCATCCCCGTGTGCGGAGAAAATGATAAAATGTCTCAACTCTGAACATTGTAAAGCGCTTTGGGTGACCTTGGTCTGTATAAATGTGCTGTATAAATAAAGTACTTACATAAAGACTTTTCTTGAGTTGAGTATTTGTTCTCATTGCAACTCACTATCTCTCTGTCACTGCTATTTTGGCTTTGATTTTTCCAGGCTCCGAATGATGTGTGTTGATTGCAGAATTTCGCTCTGGCCACCAGGGGGCCGGGATCTACACCATCATGCATGTTTTTAATTTCAACACACAGATGAAACTATTGCTCAAAAGTGTATTCACGTAATTCAACTTAAAACGTTAGATAAAATCAGGGTTTAGTGATTTTATAAGATCACAGCCTCGTAACCTCTGGTGAGCGGAGGGCCTGCATAAGCACAGTTGTTAGATATCTGGAACTCTCACATGAACATGATGAAGCTTTAACAATGACATGAGTCAGAGAAATGTGATAAAACAAATAGAGAGGAAGGTCTTTTTTATGCATATATGACTCTCTAATATTTACAAATGCTGCTTATAAATATAGCTTTGGGCGACCGGGAGGAGTTAAATGTTATCTGTAATGTCCTTTTTTGGATACACAGTTCAGCTTCATGGACTTGTCACAACCAAATGTCATGCGTCCAGTTGGATGATGTACGTCGTCTGTCTTTTGTGAATCCTTCTGGGTCTGTTTTGGGTTCCATGACCCAGCCGTGAACCAATATGTTCAGGAAAAAACTTACTTACATTAAACCAAATATGATATAGACTTAATACATTGAAAGTGTTTTTTCTACAAGCTGTGAGCAATAATGATCATCATCATGACAAATGAAGCTTGATATATCTCACTTTGCGTGTAATGAGTGTGTTGTGCATTAGTTTCACATTGTAAACTGAAATACAGAAGTAAATGGACTTTTGAAGGATATTATAATTGTCGGACTTTGACCTGCAGACCCAGGTGATAATACCGTATGTAGCAGCATCAAAAGAAGGTGCTCACCGCAAATGAGGCCCAGGCAGGGCTGGAAGCCGTTACTGGAGCCCTGCAGTCTGAGCTGGTGGTCCATCTGAGAGTCAATGTCCTGGAGAGAAGGCAGGGCCGGCCCCCGGGGGTGACTGTGGTACCACCCCACCAAGGACAGCCCCCGCATGAACAGGTTCTGACAGATCTGTAACAATATGTTTACTGTCACGACTGTATCTAACTTCATTAAAGCAGGGGTGTCAAACCGGTCCCCAAAGGGCCAGTGTGGCTGCAGGTTTTAGTTCCAACGTGACCAGGAGAACACCAGACTCTATTTCCTCAAGAGAGACCATTTTTGACCTTAAGATTTGAGGAAATGGGTGGAGTCTGGTGTGCTCCTGCTCAAGTTGGAACTAAAACCTGCAGTCACACCGGCCCTTTCTGGAACCGCTTTGACACCTCTGATCTAGAGCATCAGACTTTAGAATTATGCACAGGTACTAAAGGTGTTTTCACATATCGGCCTGGCTTCACACGGCTCGGCTCAGTCTCTCAAAGTGAGTCGTGTCGAGCTGCTAAAGCGGGCTACGCTGGGCCTGGCTGAAGAGCAGTCACTTTTACTTTTATGTAGATATTCAGATTCAGATACGCTCTCTTTATTCAAGGCTAGGTTTAAAACAGTCCTCTTTAGTTTAGCATATGGCTAGGAAGGTAAGACTCAGGGAAGGCTAAACTCCTCAGACTGTCAGTCAAGCTGCATAGGGCGCCCCCTGCTGGAGAAGTATGGTAACTTGAGCACTACCCTCTCCTCCTTCCTACTTTACCTGTTTAGCGTTATTAGGATTTTGACTGTAGTTTGTTCATTGCTATTCACCCGTTGTCTCATTGTCTGTTTCATGGTACGATGACGGGATCTCTGAGCCTGGCCTCCTCCATCTACACCTGCGGACTGCCCCGCCCGACCCGCCTGGGAGTGCTTCAGTCCTGCACCGGACCTGTCCACGTTCAGCGTCCACTGGTCCACGTTCTGTAGCTAGCTTAGGTCCTGGATCTATAGCCCGTCCGTCCGTGGGAGCGGATCCCTTTCTCATATGGGTCTCCCTCCCTGTGGGTTTCCCTAGTTCTCCCCAAGGTTTCTCACTTTTTCCCACTGGGTTTTTTAAGAGTTGTTCCTTGTCGATGCAGGAGGGTCTTGTTGGACAGTTAGTGTCCAACAGAAAGGATTGGTGATGATCAGGACACTTTAGCATTCTACAACATGTATGGACATGTTCTTCTGTGTGTGCTTTATATTCTTCATGTGTTTTAACTGTTGATTCTCTGACCTGTGTTGGTGATTTCAATGGTTTTGTTAAGTCTCTGAGATGACTTCTGTTGTGACCTAGGGCTATACAAGAATGTATTGTATTGTATTGTATTGTATTGTATTGTATTGTATTGTATTGTATTGTATTGTATTGTATTGTATTGTATTGTATTGTATTGTATTGTATTGTATTGTATTGTATTGTATTGTATTGTATTGTGTGTGAAGAGAAAGTGCTGCAGTTTCATGTTTGTGGACGTTTGATTGACAGAGAAGATGGATATGATACACGCACAGAACAAGCACTCGATAAACATGACATGAAGCGCAAGAAACACAGGACCCCGACGACCACGCTTTGTTATAGCTCTCAGAACATGTAGCGTGTGTGTTCACATGTAGCGTATGCATTCACATGTAGCGTATGCATTCACATGTAGCGTATGCATTCACATGTAGTGTATGCATTCACATGTAGCGTGTGCGTTCACATGTAGCGTATGCATTCACATGTAGCGTGTGCGTTCACATGTAGCGTATGCATTCACATGTAGCGTATGCATTCACATGTAGCGTGTGCGTTCACATGTAGCGTATGCATTCACATGTAGCGTGTGCGTTCACATGTAGCGTATGCATTCACATGTAGCGTGTGCGTTCACATGTAGCGTATGCATTCACATGTAGCGTGTGCGTTCACATGTAGCGTATGCATTCACATGTAGCGTGTGCGTTCACATGTAGCGTGTGCGTTCACATGTAGCGTGCGCGTTCACATGTAGCGTGTGCGTTCACATGTAGCATGTGCGTTCACATGTAACGTGTGCGTGCGTTCACATGTAGCGTGTGCGTTCACATGTAGCGTGTGCGTTCACATGTAGCGTGTGCGTTCACATGTAGCGTGTGCGTTCACATGTAGCGTATGCATTCACATGTAGCGTGTGCGTTCACATGTAGCGTATGCATTCACATGTAGCGTGTGCGTTCACATGTTAGCGTATGCATTCACATGTAGCGTGTGCGTTCACATGTAGCGTGTGCGTTCACATGTAGCGTGCGCGTTCACGTGTAGCGTGTGCGTTCACATGTAGCGTGTGCGTTCACATGTAGCGTGTGCGTTCACATGTAGCGTGTGCGTGCGTTCACATGTAGCGTGTGCGTTCACATGTAGCGTGTGCGTTCACATGTAGCGTGTGCGTTCACATGTAGCGTATGCATTCACATGTAGCGTGTGCGTTCACATGTAGCGTATGCATTCACATGTAGCGTGTGCGTTCACATGTAGCGTATGCATTCACATGTAGCGTGCGCATTCACATGTAGCGTGTGCGTTCACATGTAGCGTGTGCATTCACATGTAGCGTATGCATTCACATGTAGCGTGTGCGTTCACATGTAGCGTGTGCGTTCACATGTAGCGTGTGCGTTCACATGTAGCGTATGCGTTCACATGTAGCGTGTGCGTTCACATGTAGCGTGTGCGTTCACATGTAGCGTATGCATTAACATGTAGCGTGCGCGTTCACATGTAGCGTGTGCGTTCACATGTAGCGTGTGCGTTCACATGTAGCGTATGCATTCACATGTAGCGTGTGCGTTCACATGTAGCGTGTGCGTTCACATGTAGCGTGTGCGTTCACATGTAGCGTGCGCGTTCACATGTAGCGTGCGCGTTCACATGTAGCGTGCGCGTTCACATGTAGCGTGTGCGTTCACATGTAGCATGTGCGTTCACATGTAACGTGTGCGTGCGTTCACATGTAGCGTGTGCGTTCACATGTAGCGTGTGCGTTCCCATGTAGCGTATGCGTTCACATGTAGCGTGTGCGTTCACATGTAGCGTATGCATTCACATGTAGCGTGCGCGTTTACATGTAGCGTGTGCGTTCACATGTAGCGTATGCATTCACATGTAGCGTATGCATTCACATGTAGCGTGTGCGTTTACATGTAGCGTGTGCGTTCACATGTAGCGTATGCATTCACATGTAGCGTGTGCGTTCACATGTAGCGTGTGCGTTCACATGTAGCGTGTGCGTTCACATGTAGCGTGTGCGTTCACATGTAGCGTGTGCGTTCACATGTAGCCTGTGCGTTCATATGTAGCGTGTGCGTTCACATGTAGCGTGTGCGTTCACATGTAGCGTGTGCGTTCACATGTAGCGTGTGCGTTCACATTTAGCGTATGCATTCACATGTAGCGTGTGCGTTCACATGTAGCGTGTGCGTTCACATGTAGCGTATGCATTCACATGTAGCGTGTGCGTTCACATGTAGCGTGCGCGTTCACATGTAGCGTGCGCGTTCACATGTAGCGTGCGCGTTCACATGTAGCGTGTGCGTTCACATGTAGCATGTGCGTTCACATGTAACGTGTGCGTGCGTTCACATGTAGCGTGTGCGTTCACATGTAGCGTATGCATTCACATGTAGCGTGTGCGTTCACATGTAGCGTATGCATTCACATGTAGCGTGTGCGTTCACATGTAGCGTGTGCGTTCACATGTAGCGTATGCATTCACATGTAGCGTGTGCGTTCACATGTAGCGTATGCATTCACATGTAGCGTGTGCGTTCACATGTAGCGTGTGCGTTCACATGTAGCGTGTGCGTTCACATGTAGCGTGCGCGTTCACATGTAACGTGCGCGTTCATATGTAGCGTGCGCGTTCACATGTAGCGTGTGCGTTCACATGTAGCATGTGCGTTCACATGTAACGTGTGCGTGCGTTCACATGTAGCGTGTGCGTTCACATGTAGCGTGTGCGTTCCCATGTAGCGTATGCGTTCACATGTAGCGTGTGCGTTCACATGTAGCGTATGCATTCACATGTAGCGTGCGCGTTTACATGTAGCGTGTGCGTTCACATGTAGCGTATGCATTCACATGTAGCGTGTGCGTTTACATGTAGCGTGTGCGTTCACATGTAGCGTATGAATTCACATGTAGCGTGTGCGTTCACATGTAGCGTATGCGTTCACATGTAGCGTGTGCGTTCACATGTAGCGTGTGCGTTCACATGTAGCGTGTGCGTTCACATGTAGCGTGTGCGTTCATATGTAGCCTGTGCGTTCATATGTAGCGTGTGCGTTCACATGTAGCGTGTGCGTTCACATGTAGCGTGTGCATTCACATGTAGCGTATGCATTCACATGTAGCGTATGCATTCACATGTAGCGTGCGCATTCACATGTAGCGTGTGGGTTCACATGTAGCGTGTGCGTTCACATGTAGCGTGTGCGTTCACATGTAGCGTATGCATTCACATGTATCGTGTGCGTTCACATGTAGCGTGCGCGTTCACATGTAGCGTGCGCGTTCACATGTAGCGTGCGCGTTCACATGTAGCGTGTGCGTTCACATGTAGCATGTGCGTTCACATGTAACGTGTGCGTGCGTTCACATGTAGCGTGTGCGTTCACATGTATTGTGTGCGCTCACATGTAGCGTGTGTGTTCATATGTAGCGTGTGCGTTCACATGTAGCGTGTGTGTTCATATGTAGCGTGTGCGTTCACATGTAGCGTGTGCGTTCACATGTAGCGTGTGCGTTCATATGTAGCCTGTGCGTTCATATGTAGCCTGTGCGTTCATATGTAGCGTGTGCGTTCACATGTAGCGTGTGCGTTCACATGTAGCGTGTGCGTTCACATGTAGCGTATGCGTTCACATGTAGCGTGCGCGTTCACATGTAGCGTGTGCGTTCACATGTAGCGTGTGCGTTCACATGTAGCGTGTGCGTTCACATGTAGCGTGTGCGTTCACATGTAACGTGTGCGTGCGTTCACATGTAGCGTGTGCGTTCACATGTATTGTGTGCGTTCACATGTAGCGTGTGCGTTCACATGTAGCGTGTGCGTTCACATGTAGCGTGTGCGTTCACATGTAGCGTGTGCGTTCACATGTAGCGTGTGCGTTCACATGTAGCGTGTGCGTTCACATGTAGCGTGTGCTTTCACATGTAGCGTGTGCGTTCACATGTAGCGTGTGCGTTCACATGTAGCGTGTGCGTTCACATGAAGCGTGTGCGTGCGTTCACATGTAGCGTGTGCGTTCACATGTATTGTGTGCGTTCACATGTAGCGTGTGCGTTCACATGTAGCGTGTGCGTTCACATGTAGCGTGTGCGTTCACATGTAGCGTGTGCGTTCACATGTAGCGTGTGCATTCACATGTAGCGTGTGCGTTCACATGTAGCGTGTGCGTTCACATGTAGCGTGCGCATTCACATGTAGCGTGTGCGTTCACATGTAGCGTATGCATTCACATGTAGCGTATGCATTCACATGTAGCGTGTGCGTTCACATGTAGCGTATGCATTCACATGTAGCGTGTGCGTTCACATGTAGCGTATGCGTTCACATGTAGCGTATGCATTCACATGTAGCGTGTGCGTTCACATGTAGCGTATGCATTCACATGTAGCGTGTGCGTTCACATGTAGCGTATGCGTTCACATGTAGCTTATGCATTCACATGTAGCGTGTGCGTTCACATGTAGCGTATGCGTTCACATGTAGCGTGTGCGTTCACATGTATCGTGTGCGCTCACATGTATCGTGTGCGCTCACATGTAGCGTGTGCGTTCACATGTAGCATGTGCGTTCACATGTAGCGTGTGCGTTCACATGTTGCTTGTGCGTTCACATGTAGCGTGTGCGTTTACACATAGCGTGTGCGTTCATATATAGCGTGTGCGTTCACATGTTGTGTGTGTGTTCACATGAAGCGTGTGTGTTCACATGTTGCATGTGCGTTCAAATGTAGCGTGTGCGTTCACATGTAGCGTGTGCGTTCACATGTATCGTGTGCGCTCACATGTATTGTGTGCGCTCACATGTAGTGTGTGTGTTCATATGTAGCGTGTGCGTTCACATGTAGCATGTGCGTTCACATGTAGCGTGTGCGTTCACATGTTGCTTGTGCGTTCACATGTAGCGTGTGTGTTCATATGTACAGTCGCATGTGCGTTCACATGTGTATTCTGCTTGAAAGTTGTGGTGTTTTGCAGAGTTACTGATTGTAGTTAGTTGTAAACCCAGTCTCGGGTGCTGCCTAGAGTCAACCCCCCTCATCTACGTCCTCTGAAGGTTTTGTGTTCGAGTACAGTTGTCTCTCCTCTGAAAGGTCAGCTCTGTCGTGAATGTAAAATGTCCGTCACTGAAACATGCGGAGCCAGACCCATGTGAAAACAACACCTAAAGATGTTGTATTTAATATTGAATAACTATGTATCCAAATATTCTTAAACAGCAGTGACATTATTCATTTTTGATAAAAAATCTAGAGCCTGTTGAGAACTGAGCCTTCTTTAAAGCCATTACCTCTTCCTCCACAGCAGAAGCACTTTGTTTATCTGCGAGTCTGGTTCGACATGGAAACGCCCTCAAAACTGTCAGCACTGAAATCAAAATAGAATAGGAATACTGTTGAAATGTGTGTTGGATTTAGGTCAAGATCACATGAAGAGAGAAAAGGGAAACATACATTGCGTGTTAGTGTCCCATCTTCCCCCGAGGTATCCCACCACCTCACTCGTCGTCAGGTGACAGTGGAAGTCCTAGCACACAACACAGGTCAGAGAGCACTGGAACAATCTAACTCAGGTCTAACTCAGGTCTAACTAGGTCTCCAAAAGGTCGCGTCACACACACCAACTGACGTCACACACACCAACTGAAGTCACACACACCAACTGAAGTCACACACACCAACTGACGTCACACACACCAACTGACGTCACACACACCAACTGACGTCACACACACCAACTGACGTCACACACACCAACTGACGTCACACACATACCAACTGACGTCACACACATACCAACTGACGTCACACACACCGACTGACGTCACACACACCGACTGACGTCACACACACCGACTGACGTCACACACACCGACTGACGTCACACACACCGACTGACGTCACACACACCGACTGACGTCACACACACCGACTGACGTCACACACACCAACTGACGTCACACACACCAACTGACGTCACACACACCAACTGACGTCACACACACCAACTGACTTCACACACACCAACTGACGTCACGCACACCGACTGACGTCACGCACACCAACTGACGTCACGCACACCAACTGACGTCACACACACCAACTGAAGTCACACACACCAACTGAAGTCACACACACCAACTGACGTCACACACACCAACTGACGTCACACACATACCAACTGACGTCACACACACTAACTGACGTCACACACACACCGACTGACGTCACACACACACCGACTGACGTCACACACACCGACTGACGTCACACACACCGACTGACGTCACACACACCGACTGACGTCACACACACCGACTGACGTCACACACACACCAACTGACGTCACACACACCAACTGACGTCACACACGTACACACCAACTGACGTCACACACACCAACTGACGTCACACACACCAACTGACATCACACACTGACTAACGTCACACACACCAACTGACGTCACACACACCAACTGACGTCACACACCGACTGACGTCACACACACCGACTGACGTCACACACACCGACTGACGTCACACACACCGACTGACGTCACACACACCAACTGACGTCACACACACCAACTGACGTCACACACACCAACTGACGTCACACACACCAACTGACGTCACACACACACCGACTGACGTCACACACACCGACTGACGTCACACACACCGACTGACGTCACACACACCGACTGACGTCACACACACCGACTGACGTCACACACACCAACTGACGTCACACACACCAACTGACGTCACACACACCAACTGACGTCACACACACCAACTGACGTCACACACACCGACTGACGTCACACACACCAACTAACGTCACACACACCAACTGACGTCACACACACAAACTGACGTCACACACCGACTGACGTCACACACACAAACTGACGTCACACACACCAACTGACGTCACACACACCAACTGACGTCACACACACCGACTGACGTCACACACACCGACTGACGTCACACGCACCAACTGACGTCACACACACAAACTGATGTCACACACACCAACTGACGTCACACACATCAACTGACGTCACACACACCAACTGACGTCACACACACCAACTGACGTCACACACACACCAACTGACGTCACACACACCAACTGACGTCACACACACCAACTAACGTCACACACACCAACTGACGTCACACACACAAACTGACGTCACACACACCAACTGACGTCACACACAACTGACATCACACACACAAACTGACGTCACACACACCAACTGACGTCACACACACCAACTGACGTCACACACACCAACTGACGTCACACACAACTGACATCACACACACAAACTGACGTCACACACACCAACTGACGTCACACACACACAACTGACGTCACACATACCAACTGACGTCACACACAACTGACATCACACACACAAACTGACGTCACACACACAAACTGACGTCACACACACCAACTGACGTCACACACACAAACTGACGTCACACACACAAACTGACGTCACACACACCAACTGACGTCACACATACCTACTGACGTCAACACACAACTGACATCACACACACAAACTGACGTCACACACACCAACTGACGTCACACACACAAACTGACGTCACACACACAAACTGACGTCACACACACCAACTGACGTCACACACAACTGACATCACACACACAAACTGACGTCACACACACAAACTGACGTCACACACACCAACTGACGTCACACACACAAACTGACGTCACACACACCAACTGACGTCACACATACCAACTGACGTCACACACAACTGACATCACACACACAAACTGACGTCACACACACAAACTGACGTCACACACACCAACTGACATCACACACACAAACTGACGTCACACACACCAACTGACATCACACACACAAACTGACGTCACACACACCAACTGACGTCACACACACAAACTGACGTCACACACACAAACTGACGTCACACACACCAACTGACGTCACACACAACTGACATCACACACACAAACTGACGTCACACACACAAACTGACGTCACACACACCAACTGACGTCACACACACAAACTGACGTCACACACACCAACTGACGTCACACATACCAACTGACGTCACACACAACTGACATCACACACACAAACTGACGTCACACACACAAACTGACGTCACACACACCAACTGACATCACACACACAAACTGACGTCACACACACCAACTGACATCACACACACAAACTGACGTCACACACACCAACTGACGTCACACACAAACTGACGTCACACACACAAACTGACGTCACACACACAAACTGACGTCACACACACAAACTGACGTCACGCACACAAACTGACGTCACACACACAAACTGACGTCACACAGTATTACAGAGTCAATGGAGAGGCCAGGGCCAACTTCAAATGTAGTACCACTGAAAAGGTAGAGAGGGCGCCACACAGACGTTTTTAGGCTCAAAAGTGAGATTTTATCTAATTTACACAAAAATGTCCAAAAAATGACCAGGATATGTAGAGAGCACCACAATAAACATATTAATGCAGTTTATGAGTAAAAAAAAAAGTTGATTTGGTGTTTAGTTGCTCTCTTTACGGACCGCTTTGACACCCTTGCTTTGGAGTGTGGTTTCGGTTTGAGTCTCTCACCATGAGCAGCAGGACGTTACTGGACACAGCCACATTGAAAGGCTGGAAGCGGTTGATGGCGGAGAAGGCCGACAGCTCCACCAGCGTGTGTGGGTCTCTGAGATCACAGTGAAAGTTCTTATAATGATAAAGTCACTTCACTGGAGGCGAGAAGCAGAGTAGAGACACTACCTGGTGGCGTCTCTGGTGCCCAGCGTGCCGTAGCGGACCGGAATCCTCTCTCGGTCCGTCTTCTTGAGGACAGTGGCGTCTGAAAGAGATGACGGCTGTGATTTGAGGTGTTCACATTAGCATAGGAAGCAAAGAGAATAAAAATATGTGTTTGTATTGTAGAAGTCAGTTGTAGAGGGGGTGCCAATACCTGTGGGAAAAAGGCCATTTTTGACAGAAAGGCTGCAAAGAAAATGTTCAAATGAATGGTTCTTCTGCAGACAGACAAGTGCCAATAGAAAACAAATTGAAACGCTTTCCCTTTGAAAAGTTGTTCTTTGAAAAGCTGGATCAATTGTCATACAAATGCATTTTAACCCCTTCTTGAGCAAATCCTCTTTACTTACTAATTTACGATCAATATCAAAATATGTTGAAGATTGGAGATAGAGCAACTTTTTGACACATTAGATTCACAAAGCCACTGTATGATTCTTATGTGTGCAATTATTGCTACTGGCCAACATCATGCATGGTTTCTGAATATTGTCACCACTTCTAAATAGTGTTGGGAGAAACAAGTTACTTTTTAATTCACAATATTACAGTGTTTTCACTTTTTGATACAACTCAGTGGTGACATTCATTAGAAAAGTGAAAATGTGTAATATATGGTTTCAATTCCAGTAACTCCACTTGCATGCATAGTTACGGTACAGTTTCTGTGTTTTCTCACCACTTCTCACGACAAACACAGATGATCGTTATACTGTAGTTATACAGGAGGGAGATCTTTCTAGAAACAGTAGAAGTACTTGAAATTAATCTTGACCAATGTCATTTGAACACAATCAGTGCGATATAATAAGTTTTCTGAACCAAAAGTAACTTAAAGCTGTGTATCTCAGTGATATGTTGAAGTAGTCATACAAATATATTAAAGGAGCAGTATGTACAAATCTGGCCAAAGGTGGTACTGCAGTCACGGGTCAATATTGTGTAGTCCTCTCCCTCTCTCCCTGACTCAGGTTGCCAGATACACACCAAATCCAGCAGCAAACACAGGGAATTATTTTATCAGTTGTTTGTCTGTCTGTCACATTGCCATGAGCCGTGCTAATGTTGAATGAATGTTTTTTATTTTTTTTATTTGGACATTTGAGATGAGAAAAAATAAATGTAATTATACACTGATTATGCAAAATAAATAAGCAATTGATGTCCAAAATACGAGTAAGAAGAATGGATGTTGGAGCATATTTCTTCAGCGTATCAACATCAGGGTTTCCTCCAGAGGATATACCCTTATATTTGATTTATTCCCTATTTTTTAGACAAACATGTATAAATCCCACATCAAAAAGAGACTAGCATTATTTTAATTGGGGTACATGTGGTCTCAAATTATTCTTTTTACAAATAAGCTATAATCTGCAAAAAACGTCATAATTATTGTCTTTTACCTGATTTTGAGCAACCTGTGTCGCTAGAATGTAAGGTCTGTGGTTTAACCATTAGGACACCTTTCCACGCAATAAATAGTCACGTAAATATTTTACTGTTTTAGATTAATTGACCCAACATTGTCTAGACAGTAGAGATAATAAATAACACTACAATAGACTAATAAGTTGATAATTGACAACGAAGATGAGGAACATGGTGACGGTTTTGTTTCAATTACAGAAATTTACTCTGAAACCAAGACTAGAATCTGTGGTAATGTCGTGGCCATAGCTGTAGTCGTAGTTGCCTCACTTCTGTCGGTGTGCCCCAGGGCAGCTGTGGCTACACTAGTTCATTGCCACCGTGTATGGAGCAAACGCTATATAAAAACCAGTGCATTATCAGCGTGCTCTCACCATGTACTCCAGGCCTGTTGTTTTTGTTCTTGTCGTCCGTCTGCACAGCGGTTTTCCCCTCCTCTTCATCTTCATCATCCTCCTCCTCACTTACCAGGCTCTACCACAAAGCAAGGTGAGCATGATGCCGGGCTTGGATCAATGCTTCAGACACTCACCAGGTCTGCAGTGGGCTGGTACTTGTGCAGCCACGTGGTCTTGTACTGGACCAGCTTCTGCCCTCTGTAGCGCACCGAAGCCCAGCCACAGCCCGACTTCTTGGCTGGATTTACGAGTCGTTTACAATGCGTGGCCCAAGCACTCGGAGAGTTAAAAGTCTGTCCCGTCTCCACCCAGCGGATTTTCCCATCGGTCAGGAGGTCGCCCGAGAAGTTCTTTCCCTTAAAGAAGAAAACATATGCATTATTTTTGGCCCTTAAAACTGAGAATGAGAATATTTTAGAATGTGAATTAAAATCTTCAGTTGAAATTATAAGGTGAAGGGATGAAGTATGAAGGACAAAAAAAATGCCTGTAACTCTCTATGCTACCACCAGAGGGAGGAGTTTGTGTTGTTGTTTTTTTCCAAATTTGAAAATTGTCAACACAGACTGTAAAGAATGTCACTTCACCTGAGAATGACTTACATCAGGGGTATCAAACAATTCCAACCAAGCAGGAGCACACCAGACTCCACCTTTTTCCTTATATGAGAATGGGTGGAGTCTGGTCTGCTTAGTTTGAATGAAAGCCGTGTCAAACTGGCTTTTTAAGGAACCAGTTTGATTCTACTGACTTATAGCAGGACTGAGCCAGGATGTTGTGGACAGAAGGTGTAGAGTTACATGGTCATGACAGAAGTTCCTAGTAAGAGTGTGGATGTATCTTAAAACAACTCCAGGTCTGTGGAAGCTCTTTCTGTGGGTACAGTAAAAGCTCTTACCAGGTAGTGGATGGTCAGGACCCCATCTCCAGGCTCCACCAGGCCGTCTTTGAGCAGGACTCGGAGGGTGATGCCCCTGCGTGTGAGCAGGGAGCCACGGCCTGCACTGGAGCGCAGATCTGCCTCCTCTCCTCCACTCAGCTCCTCTTCATCCTCCTCTGCTCCATCCTCCACCACCTGTGGAGAGCAGGGCCGCTCCAGACCTGCCATTCAGCAGGTCACATGGGGTTACTCCATACAATAGTGATCAGACAACGTGGAATGGAATGCAAGTTTTACACTTTTCTACAATATTATTATTGTAGTAATTATTCACATATAATGTGATACTCCACAGTGAAAGCTTATATGGTTCATCATTATGTCGTTATGTGTATATAGATGTTGTCTATAACACCAGCTGGAAAGTAATTACTACCTCTATAACCATCCCTTGTATTGAATGTGCCTAAATACCTAGGTTTAATAATTAGGTTTGAGATGTCGTTAGAGTCATGCGCTCGGTGTTGTGGATGGTCTTTTGTTCGCTGCTTGAATGAGACTCAGAACAGGCCTCGGTCAGTTTAAGTCACTATTATGGTCCCTTCATGATTCTCACCCAGATCAGCGGACATCAGGGAGCGCCTTCAGATCCGCCTCCGTCCAAAGACGCGTCTCTCTGGGCCGCTTAAAGCCGGGACTTGGGCTTCAGCGCTCGGCTCCACTCGGCTCCTGTTGGCCACTGCTCCGGGGGGTATTCTCAGATGAGGGTGCCTGGCTCCTGCACGGACACGGCAGGGGCAGTTTCCTTGTTGTGTCGCTTTAATGTCGGCTGGCTCTCCTCCCCTTTCTCTGGTGTCTCCTGTCGCTCCTTGTGTTGTGGTGACGCGGGGTCTTCTTTATCTCACACACACACACACACACACCCGAGGACCTACAATGCTTTATATTCCAACTAAACACCGCGTTTGACCGCATCAAAGAGGACCATCAGAAACAATACTCACCAAATATATCCCTGTGGAGCCGATTTTCCAACAGATCTTACATTAGGGAGCGGTGTGCTTCATAAGGCAAGATTTTGAAGCAGGATACAGTCTTAAGTAAAAATGAGTTGGAATGAAGAACAAAACCGAGCCCGTTCAATACATTGATTTATTATATTATGGTTCAATAACACAAGCTTTTCTTCCCCGCTTCCCGATGTTTCCTCCTCTGCAGCAGTAAGACAATTACAGTGAGTGTCCAGCAGAGGGCAGCCCCACACTGACAAAGGCGCAAAGGCAGACGAGCCCTGTTCACATCACGGACCCGCGTTTTGGGCATAGATAGACTGTATAAAGTACAGACCAAAAGTTTGGACACACCTTCTCATTCAAAGAGTTTTTTATTTTCATAATTATGAAAATTGTAGATTTACACTAAAGGGATCAAAACTATGAATTCACTCATGTGAAATGATGTAAATACTAAAAAAAAAAAAAGTATGAATTGAAAATATGTAAAGTAGCACCTTTTGCTCTGATACTGCTTCACTCTTGGCATTCTCTTGATGAGCTTCAAGAGGACCTGGAATGGTCTGAGTTCCCACAGATGCTTAGCACTTGTTGGCCCTTTCACCCTCACTCTATGGTCCAGCCCCAAAACCATCTGGACTGGGTTCAGGTCCGGTGACTGTGTAGGCCGGGTCATACCCGGGCCCAGCACCCACCACTCTCCTTATTGTTCAAATAGCCCTTACACACTGGGTGTGAATCTACTGTCAATAGTCATGAAAAAAACGGCACTCATTGAATGAGAAAGTGTGTCCAAACTTTTGGTCTGTATCATCAGGTGATAACAGATGTTTTCTATAGTTCTTGGGGGCCTTCAATATTCAGGGACTGTCAGAGCAATGCTACTGTAGGCATCAGGCAAAGCTCCTCATCCCTACGCTTCACTGGCAGTGGAAGCTGGAGCAAGAATCATGGAGGCTCTGTGACACTGGGTGGGGACATGCGGACTGATTCACCTGCTAAATACATTTCATCAACATTTATCTAAAGTGTTAATAAAAGTCAGCATTTGTGGAAGTTACACGATGATGAACCTAACGAGAAGTCGTTGACATTCTAACAGTCCAGGTAAATTCCATTCATCCATCCATCCATTTTCCTCCGCTTCATCCGTTGCTGGGTTGCTGTTCTGTATAGATCCATACGGTGCATTTGGGGCAAATACGAGTGTTTGGGGAAGATTATCCCAAAGTGTGCGGACTCTACTGTTCCCCTGAGTGGGCTGTGTGCGCACATCGCTGCCAATGGAGTGACAAAAGTCATTACCAATCACTGTATAATGTTGGGCACATGAAGCCCTGTGGCACACTGAGGCCTTCAAATGTATCAAAGCCTCTGCGTTAGCTCAGACTAGCTTGAAACACCGATATCTAGTGGAAAAATTTAACTCTGACAAGAGAGCCTTGAAAAAGTACGCAGCCCCTGAAGAGGTAAAGTAGAGTAAAAATAAAATAAAAAGTATCTCGAGATACCTCTCCCGAAATAGCTAGCAGTGCTTCTGGCTAATGCTATATCAACAAACCATGGGCATCGACACATGTCCGGGGGGAAGGTTTATTCAAATGGGCCATAAGGACATAAAAACACAAACAAGTTTTATTAAAGACAAAACTTATGAAGATATTTGAAGACGATGCTTAATTTTTCGGGAGAGGTATCTTGAGATACTTATCTTGAGATACCTATTTTTTACTCTACTATGCCCCTTCAGGGGCTCCGTAAAAAAGTTGATGTTTACTCAAAAACCAATAAACTGGTGATTGAAATGCGATCATTTGGAATATTAGAGCCTTGTACTCAAAGTTAGATTTAATTTACTCATAATTGAATTCTAAGCTTTAAAACTATCTTTAGTAGTGCAATATTATATTACTATTCACATTGTTGTTTTCAAATATACAAATTATAAATTATTATTATTATAATTATTCACACATTCCATTGCATCCTCAGGCACAGTGAGCCTCCATGAGTGACAGAGGCACAGTTCCATATTAGCGCTTGTTACATGGTAATCAGAGTTTTTTTTTGTGAGAAACCAAGCACAAGATGAGGATAATGACAATTATGTTACAGATCTGAGAGTTGTGGCCAGTATTTGAAATGTTGGCAATATTCAAGACTGACAAAGAGACCACTGTTGTCTAAAAATAGACGGACGTATTTAATCAGAGCTCCTCTTCCCTGACTATCCCTGGTCCAACCGGGTCATCATCAAACATCACATCAGTAAAATGTGCAGAAGGGGCGTGGCTTCGTCATCCTTTGAACCCTAATGTGGAAGTGGCGACAAGACCAGGGTCTGGTCCAAGTCCTGAACCTTGGTACTGGCCTGAGTTTTAAACTGCAAAACTTGTTACTAACCAGTGAAGTGTATGCAGAGTTGTTATGTTGCTTCAGAAGCAGATTTTTTCTGATAAAACATCTGGTATTGTTCAGTGACCTGTCTTCCAAAGATCACTTTTTTCATGGTGTTCATTTTTTTATGTTAAAATAGCAGCATTGATTGACATTGTTTTATTATCTACATTTAATTTATTTGAAATGCCCAAATAATGCTGTAATATGCTGAAATATGCACCTGATTGTGATACCAACAAGTAAGTATGCCTCAATAAAAACATATAGTGCCGTAAATGCTCTTAGAATTACAAGAATATACTGTTTTTAAGTTTACAGTAAACTATTGTTAAAGTATTTGACATTTGTGTTCTGTAAATGTAATGGTAAAGAGCAATCTGGTGCCAACTATTTACTGTTATTTTACGATGATATTAGTTTTTTTCCAACCAATTTGTTTTTAAAGAGTAAAAACATCCTGACACGACACTATCATTTACAACTCATTCAAAACAGTCACATCGTGCTCAAGCCCCCGTCACCAGAGGAGCTGGTCCCGGGGTTTCATGGGGCCTCTTCGAAAGCATCTGTAGAGTGCATGTGTGGGAGGTTGTGGCCCAGCGCACAACCAGACACAGCAGCAAACACACAAGGTGATAAATGAAGAAATGATTTAGGAGGGAGTCCCGGCTGCTCAGGCCTTTATGCGACTCAAAAGGAGCGTGGATGACCAACTGTCTCCTGCTATAGTCATGAAAGACCTTATTTAAGAGCACACTGTTCCCACTAGACTTTGGGCTCTGGCTATTACACAACACTGCCTTTTCTCATCTTGCCTTAAAAAGTAAGTAAGTAAGTTTTTATTTATATACCGCCTTTTCACTGCAGATCTGAGTCTCAAAGCGGTTTACAATTGTTAATGTTGGGCATTTGTCTCTCACTCCACACAGAGATGGGAGCGGGGCCAGTACAGGAGGCACATGCCAGAACTATTGGACATATTTTTAGCGGTAGGGGAAACCGGAGTACCCGGAGGAAACCTACGCAGACACAGGGAGAACATGCAAACTCCACTCAGAAAGGCCCTGGTCCGGCCGGGATTCGAACCCAGGCCCTTCTTGCTGAGAGGCGAGAGTGCTATCCACTCAGCCACCGTGCTGCCCAAAAAAGTATAATTCACTGTTTTTCACACAAGTGGCATTGTTTCAAATGGCTTTTAAAATTCTAGAGTGAGGAAAATTATCTTTGTTCTGATCAAAGTTGTGATTAAAGCTGGGAAACTTATATTTTAATTTGATAAGAAGCACCTGCTGTTGATCCCAATAGTATAGAGACTTATAAAAGTAAACTATTGTAAACAAATCACACCTGTGACCTGTTTTACTTTTGAACACGCTGGAAAACGGCAGCAAGTCCTGAGTACCTCTGTAACAGTTGTTGTTTTGTGCTTTACAATTTTTATTTTTATTTATTTTTCTGCCTGAGATGTTGCTGCAGTTCAGTGTTCATGGTTTTACACTGGTCCAGACCAGAGCAGAGAGGATTCATGGTTTTACACTGGTCCAGACCAGAGCAGAGAGGATTCATGGTTTTACACTGGTCCAGACCAGAGCAGAGAGGATTCATGGTTTTACACTGGTCCAGACCAGAGCAGAGAGGATTCATGGTTTTACACTGGTCCAGACCAGAGCAGAGAGAATTCATGGTTTTACACTGGTCCAGACCAGAGCAAAGAGGATTCATGGTTTTACACTGGTCCAGACCAGAGCAGAGAGGATTCATGGTTTTACACTGGTCCAGACCAGAGCAGAGAGGATTCATGGTTTTACACTGGTCCAGACCAGAGCAGAGAGGATTCATGGTCCAAACCAAGTGGATCAGGTGAAAATCCACTGGAGGAATGCTAACTGTTTGAAAAATGCTAATGACGCATTCAGCATTTTACTTTGGACTAGAGCAGAGAAAATGGTCCAAACCAAGCCTCTACTCCACCTTTTGACCCGTCCTGCTCCACCCAGAGGCTACTCCACCTCTGCTGCTGTGACCCGTCCTGCTCCACCCAGAGGCTACTCCACCTCTGCTGCTGTGACCCGTCCTGCTCCACCCAGAGGCTACTCCACCTCTGCTGCTGTGACCCGTCCTGCTCCACCCAGAGGCTACTCCACCTCTGCTGCTGTGACCCGTCCTGCTCCACCCAGAGGCTACTCCACCTCTGCTGCTGTGACCCGTCCTGCTCCACC